TGAATAAAGTTATCGACATGACGGTCAAGCCCCATAACGTGATAATGAGGAGATCTATAAGGGACATATGAAGTATTATTGGGGTTTATGTGACATTTGTCATCAATGTCATAGGATGATTCCTGACTCCTATGGTACTTTGCTTCAAAAATTGGTGCCCCCCCCCCTAAATATCCTGTCCCTCAGCCCCTTCCCTCTCCCTTTGTTGATTAGCTATAGTAGGAGGTGGCTAGGGGAGCAAGAAGTTAGAGAGAGTAAGAATCATCAAATTTTTTTAATGAAGCACCATAAGAGTCTCGGGTTATCTTATGACATTGTTGAGCAATGTCACATGAACCGAGGTGATCATTCAAATATCAGATGCATTATATTGTACTGGTATTATTCAAATTTGAGTCGTGTTGAGGTAATTAATCCCAACATTTTGGGGTTACCGCCATTTCATGTTTTGTAAAGACATGTTCAGACAATAAAAACGTTGGTGTTACCCTAGCTTTATTCTTCAAGATTGTTGAGGGAGGCCTGTAAGGTATTCCAACAGCCACTCGCCATCTCTCTCGTCTCTGTAGTCGACAGCCAAAGGTGGGACCTGGGTGAAGGCGATTATCGCCCCCATGAATACAGTTGTCGAGACGAAAAGTGGCCAGAAATAAGCAAACATGTCGGCAAATCGGGGGGCCACATTAGTTATGGCAAAACTTAGCACTGTTGATGTCACGAAAAAGACGAGAATGCCCTTCTTGTACTCTAAAACTTTGGCACCAGCAGCAGCAACAATACCCATTGCCCTGCCCTTCAATTCTCTCTGCAATATATTTACTTATTTTTTCTCAAAAGATTTTCAGGGTATGTTTCACTATCTGGTCAGTCCTTCTCTTATTAGTATGTGTAGTTTTGAAAGATTCTTCCTTGAAATGTTTAGCTTCCTTTTCTCTTCTGATGGATTTCTTCAAAACCAAGGCTAGGATACGTGGGTTAACCAATATGCACTGTACGGAGTATAGTTTAGTTTCTTCTGAAGAAGAATGGAAAAGTTTGCTTGCTTCCAATCTTGGTTTATCCCCTTTGCAAGTGTGTGTGTGTGTGTATTGCTTCATCCTGACACATGTTAGTGGGATCGGATGTGCTGGTACCAAATTCGTACCAATTTATTTTTTTCAGATATCTTCACAGATGCTAAAAATCAAATTCGTATCTGCATCAATTCGATATCAGTCAAATATTAGATACATTTGTATACATTTGGAAGGATTATTACTTAACTTTGTCGGTACCTATGCTTGGCGGTTGCAAAACCAAAATCGGCACGTGTCAAGGTCCAGAACTAGGAGATGCATCCATTTAGAAGTTACCCAAAATAAAACAAAATTACAATGAAATTCTATAGGAGATTCATCCATGCACGGAGTATTAAGAAATCTTTCCTATTCAAAACTTGTGCAAAGTCCAGCAATTGAAAAAATTCTCATTTGAGTTTCAGCACGTTTCTCTACTGAACTCATGAATACATATAACAAGAATCATCATATTTGTGGAGCTCAAATGGGCATTCAAATATGATTTTAAGCTTGCCCAAACGAGCTTTCCTGGCTACTAACCTCATCAATTTCCTTCTTGCATGCCCGCAGGCGCTCCTTAAACTTCTTGCTCTCCTCAAAGTTTGCCTTCCGCTTCACACTTTTCTGCAAAAACGAAAAATGAATTCGAAATATTTTTTTGGCTTTTCTCCTCGGGAGTTGCTAAAGAAATGTTTAAAGAATTAAAAAATGGAGCAAAAAAATTTACTTCCTGCCTGAAGCAGCGGTCGAGCTTGATCTTGAGGTCAGTGCATTGGCCAAAGAACTTCCCAATAGGATGGTCCAGATGACATTTTTGGAACTGCTCAATAACCTGATCATATAAAATTCACATTTCAGCTGTGAAAGATTGTTTCTAACTGTTGTTATACACAAACAAATGACACGGGCGATTGGTGAAGGGCATTTTTATGAAGAACATACCTCTGCACACATTGGGTGCCGATGTAACGTTAGGGGAGGATGCATCTTTTTTTCAAAAGAAAATACCCCTACAGAAAGAACATAACAATTGACAACTGAATAAAATACAAGTTTATAAACCAAACCAAACCAAACCAAATAAACAGTAAGTCCATCTTGAAAACTCAAAGTTCAAACGATCTTCAAATAATACCTCCTCTGTCCCTATTTTAAATCGTCGGTTGTTGTTCACGAGGTTGGAATGGAGAAATTTTCAAATCAATTTATTTGAAAATTGATATAGAATTAAAAACTAAAATTTATATATTTAAAAACTATATCAAAAGCTTTACTATACAAGAGAAAGAGGTGACAATAGTAAATTTAAAGAAGATTATGGAATAAACTATGAACCATAAAAATAACGAGAACCCATTGATTTGCAATGGTTCAGAGATTGATATAACACGCTTCCCATTTTTATATTAGATCAAATTGGTGCCCATATCAAGAAGTTGAAGAAAGTGAACAAAAAGAAAGAGGATTGGTTCAGGAATTCTATCGAACAGTTAGACTGCATTCAAATACTAGAGGGTTTCATATTGAAACCAACAGAATAGACAAATGAAATAAAAATAACTGTGATTCAGTTTTCCAGAGAGAAGAATTAATTTAAAAAAATGAAGATTATCACATGTTATATAGGAATTAATCTGGTTAACTTTCGAGTAAAAAATTGATGTCACTTACAAATGAATGCTTTGAAAAGTGGTGGAATTGTTCGGCTGAGGAGGGTCGATTGATCGAACACTCCGCCGGGAATCGCCGCGGAGAAGTACGTGGCAGCCTGGGAACGATAATTATAGACAGGGGGGTCACTCCGTTCCCGTTCGAAATGGTGAAGGCCGTGAGGCCATTAACAAGTGAACAAAAGTCAAATGGTGAATTACCTTCGTCAATCGTCACTAGTACATGTTTTGATTTTTTTATCGACAAACTTTGATCATTAGTTAAATGAAATTTATACTCCGTATTTGATACTGACATAAAAATAATTTTATCTAATTTATTTTATAAAATATTTTTAAAATATACTCTGTAATTTTGATCTGATTAATGGGAGAACTCTCCAAATAAGAGTTGGAGACAACATCATACCTGCAATTTCCTAGATATTTAAGTGCAAGTCTATGGACTCCCATTCGGATACCTGTAGATTTTAATTTCGTAGTTATAAAAATATCTTTGTAACCTTCAAATGAAGGGATCTTAATTTTATTTCTCTAGATTTAATATTATAATAGCTCATAGCACTCTTCTACATACTTAATTACAATTAAACTACAGGTGTTTTTGCTTACAGTACTACCGGTCACTTCATGTCTTTTTCAACTTTTGAAACTCTAGACTCAGTGAACTATTCTAGACCCAATTTAGTACAATTTGCTTGATGGTAAATTCAAACCATAAAAAATTATGAAAATATCAAACTTGAAGTTTTAATTTTTTTAAGACCAAAATATGAATTTTCATTGTTACACTGTAACACCAATCACATTGTCACATTGCAAAAGTCACACTATCATAGATAACTAAGGAATATCATCCATCATTGCCGGCCATCAAAATGCCATTGTGGATGCCAACATTTAACTGATCATACTACCATATTATACTAACATCACTTTTTCATCATAGTGTCAACACATACTCTTCCATCACAATGCTATTATACACATGTTTGGATTTGAAAAGTCTTATGACTCATATTTTAATAATTTCATACTCTTTTTTTAATCTTATCCAGGTAAATTTTTTCTGATTAATATACCATAAAGTCATTTAACTTAAATTTGACAAAGTAATTTGGAGTCTCTATCCAATACTCCCCCTAAATTTGATCTTCGTCTAAACTAAGTCATGTATATTTCTAACTAGTATTTTGACCCGTGCCATGCACGGGGGCGAACAATTTTTTTTTCAATTCTTTTTTTCATGTATTATTTTTTGTGGATTAAATAAAATAAATTTCTTACATGATTTTTAATACTATATATACATCAACATCAAAATAGAATAAATAATATTTGAAGAATTGAAAGTATATACTCCACAAAACAAAGACTTATTAAAATCCAAATTTTTTGAAACACTTCAGAGTATACAATATTTTTGGTATGGTTGCAAGAGTTTCTATTGTCGTCTAAAATAAACATTTTTAATTATGTATTTTTCTTCACTCGTGAAACAACAACATAAAATTAATCATAAGTGAATAATGACGTAGTTAAAATAATCTAACAAAAGATAATGTTTCACCATAACTTTTGTTAATAGCCATAGCAAAACATAAAACTATTGAGAATTGTCTTTTTTGAAATTTTAGGGGATAGCCTTGGATCATATGGTACCAAATTTATTCGAGGTATGTAAACCTTTTCCCCGTCTCGATTTCTCGAAACCACGATTGCACGGTTAACATTTTTTCGTACCTTTTCAACAATTAATCTTGTACCATTATACAATCCAAATAACATAATCAGTACCCTTTTTTCAAAACTATTATTTGAATTGGTTTGGGATCCCCGAACATCTAGACATTTGATTTCATTCAAAAATTCAAATGTTATCCAATAAGCATCAACACCTACATTGGCATCTGCTTGCCATTAAGAACCATAACTCAATTACTCCTTTTCCATCACTGAGAATGAGGAATAAGACAAACTCATTTACCATTTCAACAACTTCGAGAGTGGATGCTAATGGTGCCTAATCCTAAAAAAAAGAATATTTTTTCATATTCTCCAATAACTTCAGATAAGTGAATTCTAGTACTATACTCTTGAGAGGATAACTTATGTCAAGAATCAAGAATCCAGTAAGAATTTCAACGTCAGCAATTCCACCAATCACTTGACCAAGCTTTCTATCTCCAATTTTGATTATCTAATCAGAAAAAGCTTGTGTATCCCTATTTGGGTAAAAGGACATAGATGAATGCAATATCATATTCTTGCTCAACATAAAAACTTTACAATACAACCTCTATTTTGGGGAAATCACAGTAGCACCTATAATTTTTTCTCTCAAAGCTTTGGTAAAATTGGTAGGAAGTGGCAAAAATCACTTCCGAGTACTAATATTTTTCCTCTGAATGGTTCATTTCTAGAGTTATTATTGTAGAATCTCAATATCTATCTCATTGTGTGATCCAATACCTCAAAAACAAATCTATTCATCACACATGCTTCATCTCATATGATTCCACTTGCTTGTTAGATTAATTCTGCTTTTCGGACCCCCCGTGTTTAATAGCACATTGAGCACTCAGTTAAAGGCAGAGAGATTGAGAATCTCGACTGTTCTATCCTTCCACCATGCAAAAACAATGTTGCAGTGTCACTGGATGCAACATTCAAAACAGTCTTACATACCATTCGTTCGTGAGAAGTAGACATTGGTTTCTATATAAATGTTTTCCCAAGTCTCCCGTAACCATATATAAAAAAGAAACCTCCTCTTTTATATATTAGATTTCGATTATCACATCAGATATTTTTCTTTGATCTTCATTCATCGTAGATAAATATCCTCTAAAATTAAATGACAATTTTTCCTTGTCATAGTTCAAGTTCTCAATCAAGAAATTATTTTGAAATCTATTAAGAAGACTATCATCTGGAAATGACGTAACACTAAACTCCTTTAAAAATATATAATTTTGATATTATTTTTAAACTTTTCATTTACTTTATAATAAGGTAATAAGGTATGATGTGTAGGATAAATGATTTTAGGGTGCGCCTTTTTTCTAATTTGAAAAGTTTTATGGGATGCCTTTCTTTGTATTTGAAAAATTTTATGGGACGGAAGTAGTATAATTTTCTTCAAATATCTAAGGTTATTTATTTATATTAGGCTTCCCCAAAAATAATTAACTTAAGTAGTCAACATTGGGTATGCATTTTTTTCAAAAAATATTTTCAATAAATTATCGTTGGTTTAGCGCATTGAAAGTCTTATTTCAATAGATGAATTTCATTTTAAACATACTAATGATTCTCGACAAATTTTATGGTGGACTTAAGTTGTACCATAGACGTACATATGAACAAAATAAGTATTAATTCCGTTATTACTAAAATAAGCATTTGTTTTTAAAAATAAAAAAATTAAAAATATATATTTTATGTGAGAAGGTCCACAAAAATGATATGCACTCAAGGTGCACCAAAGAAATACTCACGATTCTTTCTCTATTAAACAATATGATTAAGTGTACACTTTGGATATTATAATTTTCTCAGTTAAAAAATGCATAGAATCAAAATTTTAATTATTTTTAAAATTATCAAATGTTAGACGTTAGAATACACAATAAAAAAAGATGAAAGTAAACTCAAATGACAATAATAGTTAGAAGGGAGAAGTATTGAGGTAGAAGTCAAAATAAGTAATTTTGATACTTTTTTAATATTTTACGTCTATAATAGTCTTTCTCCTTTTTAACCTTTTCAATTTGTTTTAACTTAAATGTATTATTATTATTCAATGGAATAATTAATTTACATAAAAATAAATTAAACATATATTATCAGTAGAAAGAACTATGATGTTTTTTTTACATTGTACTCATTATAATTAATCAAAATACATTAGAAAAAAATTTAAAAATTACTCATCCTAATTCTACTTCGTAATTATATTCTAGTCGCCGTATAAGGTACTCCGTATTAGGCATATTAATTAGAATTGGATCTTTCTAAATTTTAGTATAAAAGTGCCAAGTCATTAAACTCTTCAAAGGTGGCGAATGACTCATAAAAAACTTGCAAGTAGACCCGCCACGTGTCGACATTCTGTGAGCCCGAGTCTCAAATAATATATATAAAGGATGTTTTAAGAGAGCCGATTGGAGTAAGATGATGCCCTATGAGTTGGGCAAATATATTCACAATAGTGAAGAATATAAATTATGATAAACTAAAAGGGTCTTGACCAAAGTTAAGGGAATATGGGGGCTTCCCCCTAAAAAAACTGGTAAAGTAGTAGATAAAACATGTCCAGTATCAAAGTTTGATGTCACAAAATACTCTAGGCTTTTCAACTGGCCATTACCTCAACCAGAAGATGACAAAGGTTCATCAAATATTATTTGGCAAGTAAACATCCACAAAAAAAAAGAATGGAAATAGGGAGCAAGTTGCATAATCCAATCATTTGCTGCTCAAAAAAATCCTTTTGTTTGGCTATCAAGCCTTTGTTGACTCCTTGAGATAAGCTATGAGATCACTCCGATCCTGAGGCTTCTTTAGTCCAGGGAAAACCATCTTTGTTCCAGGAATATACTGCCATGAAAAAAAACAAATTTTAATCCGTGAGCACAAACCAGGCAGAAATGTGTCCCATTATCTCTCCCAGCTTCTCTTTTGGTCCATGCCAAAAATGTTTTGCTCATACTATATTTAGGGCCTTTCAAAACTATTGCCATGATGTTCAAAACTTATTGCCATGATGTTAAGAGGATACGGTCGTTAGAAGTTGTTGGAAGACTCAAAAGGTTTCAATCCATTCAAGAATGGTCCCAATATTATGTTTTTGTGATCTAAAAGTTATGAATAACATTTGACATACATAATCATGTTCAGCAAATCAAGTAATCTGTGTCGGATTGAGTTGGATTACTTTGAGTGCATCAACAAAGGATAACGCAAATCAGATACAATGAAATCCTAGAAAATACTTATTGCACATGGACAAGATGTACAACACTTGTGGAAAAGCTTCATAGCAAATCAAACAAAGAATCAATAGAATGCAAGATTGATAGAGCTCAAGAACATACTTGAATCAACACCTTTTTTATAAAAAGGCACATAACAATTCAAAAGATATTAAAATCATGTTTATAAACTCACCTTCTTGGGGTTGAGCAAGTAGTCGTATAGTGACTTCTCTTCCCACATGACAGCCATGTTTTTGTTTGCAGCAGAGTAAGAGTAACCAGGAGTTGTTCCAGATTGTCTGCCAAACAGTCCATTCAAGTTGGGTCCTGGCAATTTTAGATGTCAAAACATGTGTAGAGGCACAGACATACACACACGTAGAGAGAGACACAAACACAGAAATCATACTATCCTTATAAACTTTTCATATTCTCCCTACTTTTGTGGAATCCAACTAGATTGTTGTTGTTGTGGTAAACTTTTCATATTCTATAAAGAATATACAGCCACCTAAATTGTCAATTCATCAAATACACTGACGCACATTCATAAGCTGTACAGGCAGTAATTTGATCTTGTAAGATGACCAAGGTATGTAGACATTGCAGATCTCAATTATAAATCAACTTGACAATCAAATATGCAAAATAAAATTAATAGGCACGGTTGATATTACCCTAATAGTTTCAATGTCTATATCAAATCTCACAGAAACACAAGGAAATGAATCATACCAAAAGAGGTAAGAGTCGGATCTCAAGAGCGCGCTGGCGTGTTTTCACGCAAAAACGATTTCATCGAGTACTATACATAAATTGATTTATGAATCTACTATCTAAATCCGAAACAATCACAGATCGATAAGAACAGAGATGAAAAGAGAGAGAAAAATCAACGGAATACAAAAAAAAACAATTTAGGGATTCACCTTGCTTGTGGCCGGCGCCTTTATCGACGGTGTGACACTGAGCGCATTTCATCTTGAAGATCTTCTCTCCACTGTCGCGATTTCCCGGAGGAGCTTCGCTGAAGGACGCCATCTGAGCGGAGGAGAAAGCCAAGCGAAGGGTTGCCGAGATCTATTCTCTGGAAGAAAGCCGAGGCGGCGAATACAATTTTGATGAAGAAAATTTGGCTTCTAGGGCCTTCTCTTAACATATATATAAGCGGATCTATTCCTGAAAAAACGCGGCCCTTTTGGCTGGTAAAAAAGAAACGGAGCGTGGCCTTTGTGGTGCTGGCACACGTCCGGCCGTTGAAATTAATGCCATTGACCATTTTGCCCTTTTCCTCTTTGACCTTGACCTTGGCACTGGTAGCCATATTTCCGAAACCGGACCGGGATTGAATTGGAGAATGGATATGGGCTAAGGTGAATAGCTGACCGGAATTAGGACCGGTTTTGATCTGACTCCTAAATGGGTTCCGATCCGAACTATCTATATGAGTTTTAATTTCTTTAATACGGGATATAAAAATTGAAAACTGTCTTTTAAGAATGAAATAAACATTATGCAATTACTAAGACTCTCTGTTTGGTACATGGAATTCAAACTATGAAATGGGAATTGGGAACTCCAATTTCATATTTCATTTATGGTGTTTGGTAGCACAAAAATCACATAGATTTAGAATTGTTAGTGCAAAAAATGAATTAAAATTGATGAATTTAATTCTATGGAATTGAATATCATAAAATTTCAATTCCAATTTAATTCCAATTCCATCAATTCTACATACTAAACGGACCCTAAATGTGCTTGAATGATCAATTTTGTAATATGTATCATCTAATTTTTGTAAATATATAATGGAGTACAAAATAGGGAGTAAGTTGGAGTACAAAATAAGTACTACGGTTATATTATGTAATTTCCAAATATACACATGCTAAGATGATGTAAACAGTCCTAAACACCATACATAAATCATATACGTATAATATAAGCACGAGTAATCTTAGAGTCACAAATAAATAGTTCACAAAATATATAAATTTACATTTTATATATTTTATTAGAAATAAGATGTACTCAAATATTAACATATATTTTAATTTAAAATCCACACAAGACATGTTTGTGAATTAAAGTTTGTAAACTATTTGTTTGAGACTTTAGTATTTTCGTATACATATTCTTCATAGCAAGTGAGTTTACTTTTGACGGAAAGCAAGAAAAAAATATACTCCCCTCTATACCCTCACATATGTCTTCCCATTAATCATTTTCATTTATTCCCTATAGATATTGTCATTACCTTTTTAACATTTAAAGTATCATAATTGTCCCACTAAATTTTTTATTTCACTTCATACCCACGTACTGCATCTCATTTAATGTACTTCACCCATTTTTATTAATAGTATCTGTTTTTGACTAACTTTTTTTTCTTTTTCCAATTCTTCTTAAATAACACAAAAAGTCAAAACAATATTATAACATCCATCTTATAGGGGAGTAGAGAGTATAAAGAAATAGCTAGGTAAAATAGTAATAGTACTATATTTCGGAGTATGTAGTAGATAAGAATTAAGCTAGGGGTAAACCAACATGGGGTACCTCAAGTATATACCAAGCCAACACAGACACAAAACATGGAGTATCAACGTTTGCTGGCAAACAACAAGACGATCCACAATATAATTGTTCATCAAATATGATTTGGCTAGAAAAATATATATATTTCTTCCCTCTCACACTTCCCGCCTTAATTTTTTGTGCATCCTTTAAAATATATTTATCCCGATTAAAATTTTAAAAATATACCCTTACTTCGTAGTTTATTGTAGATAAATGTTATTTTGAGAATATTTTAGAAGTATGAGGTGAAATCAAAGTGCTTGGGTACAAGAAAAATTAGGACGAAATTCTTTTGGGAGAGAAGAAAGTATATACTGTATAACATCCACGTAGAAAAAAAGTAAAACTTTAATGTTGGGATGATGCTAATTAATTAGCAGTTGATTCACGGAGATAAGCAATGAGATCAGCCCGATCCTGCGCCTTCTTTAGTCCTGGGAAATCCATCTTGGTCCCTCGAATATACTGCATGCGGCCCATGGAAAAAAAAACAAAACAATATTAATATTTTATTGTACTACTCCGTATATAATTTGCAAGATTATTTATATTTGAATGAAACAACACCTTTCGAAAATAAAAAATAGAGGAATTTACTTAAATAACACTAAAACATAATGACTTTTCCTAAATAGTACCTACCACATGTGTTTTTTCCCAATGTAGCACTTTTAGTCATTAGTCAAGCAAATATTCGCCATCACTGGATATTATATATGGACAATGTTAAGTGCTATTTAGAAAATAAAACAATTTAAGTGTCATTTAGAAAAATGACTTAAGTTTTAGTGCTATTTAGTGCAAATATTTCTTAAAGATACTTACACATATAACAATGGGGTGTTGTAATCTTCCCTTAAAAAAAATAATACCAATACTTTTGGGACACTTATAGTGCTTCGTTCGTAATATTAACGATTCATATCCTCTTAATCCATCAATTTCACCGGCCTTTCCCACTCCCTCTATGCATCCCCTGTATTTAGGGTTGGGGGAAGGGCAAAATCGGCAATCTAGAGAGTCGGAGGCTGGGGTTGGGGCAAGATGAAATTGATGGGTCGGAGGGTATTGTAGATGTTTTGAAACCACTGGTGTCATGATATTAGATCACTCCAAATGTTGCTAACATTAGAGGCTCTCTATAACAATATCTATAAAATGATGTCAAAATGAAACCATATGTGAAGCTCTAGGTATGTATAGCTCACCGCCTTGGGGTCGAGCAAGTAGTCAGATAGTGTTTCCTCTCCCCAGACGACAGCCTTGTCCTTGTTTGAAGCCGAGTACGAGTAGTTGCTCGGAGTCGTCCCAGATTGTCTCCCGAACAGTCCATTCAAGTTGGGTCCTAATTATTACCCAATTTTACACACACACATATATGTTTAAAACAAAATAGAGTAATATAATACTCCCTCCGTCCCATGAAACATGAGACTTTTGTTTTTTAGGAGGGATTTAAGGGGAGTGTATTTTGGTATTGAATTTTCAAAAATGTCCTTTGATGTGATGGGTAAAAGTATTGATGGGTATATTATATACCCAGGTATACTCGTCAATACCGAGGGGACGTGTAAACCACGAGGTTGGGTGACTAGTGGCGATTCGGGTCTTCCGGATTCGGCTGGGCGACTGTTTGGAGCATGGCGCTAGGTGACCGATCATACTCGATTTAAGGTGACCGGTCACGGGTCTTCTTTCCGGACTCGACTAGACGGCTACTTTGGAGAATGGTGACGGGTGACCGGTCGTACTCGGATTACGATGACCGGTCACGGTTGTACCCTTCAACCTCGGCGAGATGGGCATTTCGGATCATGGCGGTGGGTGACCGGTCACCCCCGGACTAAGGTGACCGGTCACGTTTCTTGGTCTTCAGGGATGGTCGGTGCAGATAGTTGGGCGCGGCAGTTGGTGACCGGTCACCTCGCAGATTAGGGTGACCGGTCACGGTCTTGGTCTTCGGGAATAGACGTTAGACGCTTTTTTGGTACGACATTGAGTGGCCGGTCACCCCCAGATTGGAGACCGGTCACTATCTTGAGCTCTTGAGGAAATGAAGTATTGGGCTCTGTACAACTTGACCGGTCTTACTTTTGAGCTTCGATCTATGGATCACGGCCAGACGTATCCGCCTCCCCCAAACCCTAGTATCTAGGAGATCAATGGAGGGACCCACACCCGTCACTCAAAAAATCAGTGTGATAAAGTCCTTTGGCACCATCCTAGATTTGTATTCAATCAACATATTCTGATTGCACAGTAATAGATGCTATCTGGTTATTTGTCCTAAAGTGGGTAGCTTCCATGCACTTACTCAGCCTCATCTACTCTATAAATAATCTGTGATAGAGAGAGGAGAGGGTATTCACTACTACTGCCATAAAATCCTGTACACTCTAGAAAGAGTAAGAAATATATTCAGACTCGGGAGATTTCCCCCGGTCTAGTTAATTCTGTGGTATACCTTACTTCTAAGCTTATCTTTATTTACCCGGTTAGGCCTCCCTAACCCGACCCAATTACTTACTTCCCATACCTGGTGGAATTTACACCATCAAGTATGATTTGATGGATAGATTATTAGTAAAAAGGTATGATGTGATAGTTAGGGTATGAAAAAGTAAAGGGTAAAAATGACTTTTTTATAGAAATGAGAAGTGTTTTGTAGGACGGATAAAAAAAAGAAAGGAGAAAGGTTTTATGGGTCAGAGGGAGTAGTAACTTTGGGTGCTTGGATAAGTGTGAAGTACATACCTTGCTTGTGGCCGGCGGCGGCGGCGGCATTAACTTGGGCATCATGACACTGAGCGCATTTGGCGCTGAAGATCTGAATGCCTTTATTAGTGGTGTTCCCGTGATGAGCTTCGAAGCTGCTGAAGGTCGCCGCCATCTGTGAGGACGAACCAGAAAGAAAGCAAAGCAAGGCCTTAGCTTATTTTCCGAAATCTATTAATACTAATACTCCGTAATATCTATATTCCGGGCGGGGAATAAATTGAATGGGCGATCGTCTTTATACTACTACTACTACCAAATTAGCGCGCTAGCTACCTTCTCCGCTTTTTCTCTAATTACCTTTAAATTACTGTTATAATTTCCCTGCTACTTCCTTTTGTCATTTTTTTTCTTTCTAGTTATTCTTCTTTGTTTTAGAAAAATCTTTCTTAATTTGACTAAAGACCAAAATAAGGAATGGTTAAGTTATAGTTGTCATTCTAATTTTGTATTGATGTGATGCGTAAAATTAAGAAGCAAAAAAATAGATTATTATTAGTGAAAAAGTATGATGTGATACGTAAGGTAAAATGAGTAAGGATAGAAATAGTTTTTCAGTAGAAAGCAGAAGTGTCTTGCTAGAAGAGAAAAAATTGAAAGAATAAATGTTTTGGTGAACCGAGGAGGTATTATTGTATTTTTCGATCACATATATTTCATCCGTCCCAAAAACTCATCTAGCCTCTTTTCTCTTTTTTCATGTCCACAAAGTTTTTCATTTTTTATTAAAAAAATTACTTTTACTTCTACTTATTTTTACTTTATCTATCACATCAATTATATTTTTAGAAAATATATACAAAATATCTCTCTCTTAAATTTTCTAAAATCAAAATAAGAATATTTTTATGGCACATATGAAGTCCGACCATTAAATCTACGATGAGTTATAAAAAACCAACTCTACAAAAATAAGGAGTACAATAATAACAAGAAGGGTCTCGAAAATAAAATATTATACCGTACTTGGTCAACTTTCTTACAAGGAACGATAAGGGATCCAACTAAGGGTCTATTTGAAATAACGCTAGAAGTGTTAGCATTTTGAAAAAAGTTATTTATGGACAGAGTTTAGAATTAACATTTTTGAAGTTAATCTTTAACATTAAAATTTTATTTAAAATGTTAGCGCTAATCGAATATATTATTTCCAAACGGGCCCTACATAGACATTAGGGACACAAGCAAGTGGGGTCCACCATAGCCATCATTATGGGCATATAAGTCTTAAAGTGTAATTTTGTAGGTGATCATTCCTAGTTAGAGCTAATGATGTGTATTAATGAATAGTCAAAAGCATATGATCTAAACGATCAAATGTGTATTGGTCAGATCTAGAAAATGGGAGGACTAATAGCAAGAATAGGGTATTATTTCGGGATCACTATTCTTGTCTTTTTTTTTTTTTCAAAAGTCCTTCTTAATGCATTTTGTCTTATCATTTTCTTTTCTTTCTAAATTTATTATCTCTTTCTCTCTAACCAAACAAGAAAAAGTTTTTCACATCATTTTCTTTTCTTTTCCTTTCAAATTTTTTGAACCAAACATAGAATAAACTGTAAAGAAATAATTACTATGATGATTTTCTGTTAATAATTTCAGGATAATTTTAACTAAATGGTACTTTAGCTTCCAAACTATTTTAAATTAACTCTAATAAATATTTAAATTATTTTGAAATGTTTGGAATTTGAATTAAATGACTTTTAATTTATTTGGAGAATATTGGGTATGGATAAAAGTTTAGTAATAACCTGGTTCGTTAACCCATTAATTCGGGTTACGCGGGTTGAGGTGTTACAATACTATTTATAACAATAAATTCTTATCCTAATTACTAAGTTATTTACCCTGACGGTTAAATAAATGCGACAAGGTAAAAAATTCCCTCGTGATGCGGTCCGCCGCTGGAACCAAGCAAAAGCATGGCCACAACCTGAGCTATGGGTGAGCATGGTACGGTATGGTACGGTATTTAGCCCGTACCGATACCGTACAAAATATTTCGGTTTGGTATGAGATTTTACTCCGTACCGATCCCGATCCCGATCCCGACATATCGCTTCGGTATGGTTCGGGATGGTTCGATATCGGTTTCGGTACAAATCGGGATAAATATACATACCTACTTTACACCTTAAAATTTAACAATGCCCCTTTATTTTTGAAAATTAAAAGTGAATTTAAATAAAAAAACATGAAAAATTAAAAAAAATGAGTATTTAAATGCAAGAGATGCGTATCAAAACTTAGTTTATATTTCACAAACTAAAAAATGAACGACAACAAATGGTTTTTTGAATCTTTGTGAATACTTTTATGTTCATACACAAAAACTAAAATTCAAATAAAAGTATCATAATAAAACTTGAACCAATTTTTTAAAAAAATTATTATTTAGTGAAAGAATATGAAAAATATTACTCCAAGGTATTATTTTTTATAATATTTTAGTATATATGTTCGGTTCGGGATTTTTGGTATGGGACGTCACCTCGTACCGTTCCCAAATACCGTACCGACCATTCGGTTTGGTACGGTTCAGTTTCTTCTCAGTACTTTTTCGGTTCGGTATTTTTCGGTTCGATATTCTCGATTTTTTCGAAAAAATTTCGATATCGGTTCGGTACTTGCTCACCCCTAACCTGAGCATATTGGCCATCGACTTTGGACGTCTTGAAGGGAAGGTTCCTAACTCACGTTGGATTTGTGTGGTTGCTTCCGGTATGGAGGATGACACATGAAGAAGGGCGTAATCTAGTTGGGTTCGTAGTCACCTGATCTCACCTCCAGACTAGGGTTGTAAATGAATTGAATATTTTTTGTTCGATTCGTGATTCGTATTCGTTTAAGATGATTCGTATTCGATTTTTTCAAATCAAATACGAATATGAATCAAGGGTATTCGATTCGTGACTTTGACAAATATATTCAGAATATAAATCTAGTTATACAAATTTTATATATATATACACACACACACACACACACACACACACATATATATCAAGTGGTTATAAAATATTTTAAAATCTAAATGAACTGAATATTTTTAAACGAAGCGAATATGTTTAATATATAAAACGAATCGAATACGAATCTTAAAAAATATTCGAACCGAATTCGAATATCACTCCATTTTAACGAATATGAATATTTTTCATGATATTCGATTCGATTCGGTTCGTTTACAACCCTACTCCAGACTCCAACCGGCCAAAACGTGACAAGAACCTCGACTAGAAATATTGTGGATGAAAGAGACACGAGGCTAGGGGTGTTCAATCGGATCGATCCGATCCGATCCGATCCAAAAATTCGAATATCCGAAAATTTCGGATCATGTAAAACTCATTCCATATTCGATCCGAAAATATTCGGATATCCGAAATTCGGATATCCGATTTTTCAGATCGGATCACTGGATTATCCGAAAAGTTGAGTTTTTAGCCAAAATTTACAAAAAAAAAGGTAAATAGCAAAATCAACCCAAAATATCAAATTCAATATAGATTTACTAAAAGAAAAATTTCACCACTAAGTAATGGCCTAATAAAAAAATAATATCAAATTTAATTTGGGAGTAACTTTGGTAATTTTGCCTAAACAAACAAAAAAACATTATTAAAACAAAAAATTCTAAAATGCTAATGCAAAAAGTCTAAAATGGTTGAGTTCCAAAATCAACATAAACTTACATTTAAACATATAGTCATAATATATATCCATAAAATTCCAAAAATATAAAGCAAAAAAAAATCGGATATACAGTTATCCGAAAAATTCTAGAAATTGAATCCATATCCGATCCGATTTTTTTCGGGTATCCGATCCGAAATATCCGAAAGCTAAAATATCGGATCGAATATCCATTTTTCGGATCGGATCGGCCCGGATCGTGGACGGATATTTCGGATCGGATATTTTTGAACACCCCTACACGAGGCAGTTGTTTCAAAATTGAAAAATGATAAGGATACACCAAAAATGTACTCCATTAATCATCTGGTTAATCGACCATAAAAGGTCAACCAATACATAAAAGGTATGAACCACCTCATTATGTCAATTCCGTTTACCCATCCAATACCTCTTGAATGGATTTCTCAGTTTGGTACTTTGGTTCACAGTTCGTATTTAATCATCTCACAAAAATTTTCCATTCTTCAATTTTGGCTTTTTGGGGTTTCAAACCTTGGGAAGGCGCGGGGGCGGGATTGAGTTCTCAAGCACCACAGCACTAAAGTCATTTCATGAACACATGTTTCTTTGCCGAAATGGCCTCGGGATCCCCCCCCCCCCCACCCCGTTGGGGGAAGGGAGGGGGGAACCACCAAACCTACTCCCACCACCTAATCTGAGGGATGCCATGTTGGGAACGCAACCTTTGCCAAACCTTGAATTTTTCTACTAGCATTGAACTAGAACAACAATGAATGATGGGCAAACAAATTCCAACAAAGAATAGGGTAGGGTGGTCAACAAGTAAAATCATATGGCATTCTTTGAAGTGGGACTAAAATAGAGGAGAGCAGTGCTTATGGTTATGATGAGGAAAAGAAAAAGCTAAAACTCTATACAAAGTACCAACACATTTCTTCACCTCAAAAATGAGTGTTGCGAGACACCTCTTGAACTTCTCCAAGTGAGAGCATTGGCCAGCCAAGATGCCGAGGCGAACCGGGAGGGCTCGAATGCTGGCTAGGAGAGAAGAGGCTGAGCTCCACAAAGGCCCCACTGCTGGAAGTATCGCCCTTCCCCATTGTCCGAAATGAAATCGAACATCGCTTTCCGGAAGCTTCCGAGTTTCTCCCTGGACTAGTGATACTCCCCCCTGGAACACTTTGGTCAGCAATTAGAGGAACGGTATCATTATGCATAGCGCCAAAATCTCTCTGTACCTTCCTCAGAGCTAAAGAATCAGCCACGGGGAAGTATACCAGCATGCACATGCCCATCACCACACAACATAAAAGAGATAGGAACCCCAAGAAAGTGAGAATTTCAAAGACTGGGCCACCGGGTGTAGACAAGATGGATAAACCGAGAAACATGACCCTTAATGGTAAGAAACCCGAAACAAAAAGGACTAAAGTGTAAACCCTCTTCTGCAAGCCCTTGTTGATGACAAAATGAAGGATTCTTCTCCCAAGCCAGAACAAATAGCAAGTTAATGTGGTAGCAAAAAGACCGAGGCAGATCGTACTCAGTAGAGGGTAAGTGCAGAAGGCAATATCATCATCATCCTTTGTCTTAGGGAGTGAAGTGGCTCTTGTGAAGTACTGAGGCAATTTCCCCTCGTTAAATCTTGGTCCAATAGAAATGACTATGAGCTGAAAAACAAACATTGGGACGCAAAAGAGAAGAACACAAACAGCTGTTTTGCCATTCCATTTCCGATTCAGTGTGACCGACTTCTGTAGGGATGCGCGGAGAAGAAACACAACAATCAGGAAGATGCATGGTTCTGCTAACCCTAGATTCGAAACGATGTAGCCTTTGCAGACAGTTTCTTGCCATTTCCCGTTGAGAACATTCAACAAACTCCCACCTTCTCTCAGCACACCCAACCGAAGAACCTCTCCAATGCCCCACCAGATTGAGAAGAGAATGAATGTCACTCTTATTATCCAAGGACCACTAAAATAATCAAGTTGAATATGGGCTTGACCGCGGATCCGTGAGTGGAAGTAGCACAAGTACAAGGTGCAAAATAAGCCAAGAAGGGCCAAAAGGGATACAAGACAAATTGTTAACACACCTAGTGCATCACCGACTACCTTCAAATGGGGCATTACCCAAAACACTAATTCCACGCATGCTCTCTGTCAGCATGGATGCCAGAAAAATTCAACCCAAAAAAGACCATATGATAACTTTTTTGTTCAATATCCTACTCGCATCAATGCTGAGAAAAGGAGAGCCAATGATTGTTCCAATGTCTTCCCACAACCCAACACACTTATCTTGCAGTCGCCACTAGTAGATTGCAAGACCGTAATTCCTTATTACAGTTTCAACCAATAGTAATCTCCAACCGTGAATCCCAATAACCTAAAAAGAAAATATATCAAGATTAAACCCACATGTAGAAATAGCTTATATTGTAGACTCCTAAAAACTCTGTTGTAATTTCTCTTTGCCAGAGTTTCAGACACAAAGCAATGTCTACAATTGATGCATATGAAGAGACAAAAGCTACCTAATATATTTGTGATGTTCTTCAATGTGAAAAACTTTCATGAAATGTCCTTTGTGTGTCTTCTTCATAATAATAGTTGGGGAGTTTGGCCTTATATCAAACAAGCAACAAATATACTTTTTTTTTAAATAATAAAATAATAATTTCAGAAAAAAAACAATAGACATCTTCAAAAAGTACACACGAAGGTTTGAATCACTTCAAAAACAGCCCATTTTTTCTCTTTTAGTTTTCCAGTAAGACAGTATGTACTTTATCACCTCAAGTTCTAAACTTAGTAACGAAAAAAAAGTGGAAAAATAATAAGCTTGATACGCATTTGCATAATTCCCCCAAAACATAGCCAAAAACCGGAAAAAAACACAAAATGCAAGAGCAGAGTTCCAAATACACACAAAAAAACGCAAATCGCCAGTCAGACTAACATGGCGTACAATCACAGGCAACAATTCAACCACATAAATATCGCAGAACCACAGTCGCGTCCGCGTAAAGAGGCGAACAGAACGTGAAAAAAGACCAGACGAGAGCTTACGAGTCGGAGAGGGCAGATCCGTGGAACACGACCGCCGCGCCGATGAGTACGCCGGAGACGAGATTAAAACCCTATGAGAGAGAAAGGAATTTGCAGAGGGAAAGAGAGAGAGAGAGGGGGGAGAAAGGGAGAGGGAGGGGATCAAGTGTGTTACTCCGTACATTGTTGGTGACAGGCTGTCACCAGCGAATATGCGGGAAATTAAAATGAATTTTTCGAAATTTAAAAAAATTAAAAATACTCTGTAAATACAAAATACGGTATGTGTTTTGCGGTGGGGCCCGGGGGAGAAATGCCAGGCTGGACACAGCTCAGAGATGATTGCCGCATTCTGCGGGAGCGGAGCGTCCGAGTTCGAGGCACCATGCTGGCTGGGTACGGTCCATGGGGACGGTTCCGGTTTCTATAATTGAGGAACCGGAATTGTAATCCTTAGGAGTTAGGATTGGTTTAATTCTATGGCAAATGGCTATTTCTCGTAATAGAAATCATCTTTAATAGGATTAAAATATAAAGAAAAGTACTAAAATAATGTTTTCATGTTTTTTTCTCGGAATAGGACTATGCACTGTGGTAATGTGACTTTGCATTGTGGTAATGTGGCAGTGTACATGTGTAAATTAATATACTTTTTTGGTAATGTATATGACCATGTTTGGTAATGTAAGTCCTATTTCGGGAATAAAAACATGGAAGTCCTATTTTGGTATATTTTCAATGTTTTAGTCATAATTTGGTCTTTCTCCCTTCTCGTAATTCACAAAAAACAAATACACTTTGACAATTTCTCTTTCTTTCTAAATTAATTGAGCATACCTCAAATGTACACCTCACCAACATTCTCACACAACACAAAATAAGAGGAGATAAAAAAAATTTATTTTACCATATAATTAATGAAAACACACAAGTGAATAAAATATCGAAACACTGTAATAGTAAAGATTTTAATCCATTTAGACTCCTAGTACGATATTGGTGGCATATGGTTAGCTCTCGACTTCTTTCATTCTAGAGATCCTCGATTTGTCAGATCATTTCTTATTGAACCGGGAATACTGAGAAGGTATTTGCTCGACTCCATTTCCGCCACTTAGCGAGTCAAAGGTAACACGGATTGATTCATCATGGTGTCTTCTTCGAACATTTTATATGCCCTTTCCTCTTTAGAGAAAAGACATGTAAATGTGGAGTCTATAGATTCTCGAAGACTTACAACTTCTATTTTGTTTACTTTGGGCAAATTTTCATTTTCGTCTTGATCTAGAATAGATTAAACGTGTGTATCAGAATGTCTTAATGAACCAACCTTGTCCATTTCCTTTCTCATGTTCAATGGGGTAGATGGCTAATAAAAGTAACAAACCTATCATAAAAGATGATGGGCAACACATGAATACTTATAAAGATACTAACCAAGTAGGGAACACACCAGACACGTTGAATGGCTAAAACCATATTCTCAATATTAAATCATGGTCATGACATTGTCAAAATCATAAAATACTTATATGTTGGCTGGATAAACAACGAATTGAGCCATGCTTGGCAGATGATCGATCAAACTTCGAGTAGGTGACAATTCTGAAATTGAAAACATGGGCATCATTCACGACATCAAGTTGGATGGAGTCATGACATGACTCATCCCAAGGGGTGAAATTACTTGAAGATTAGTATGAGTAGGAACTTGTTTTCTTCATCTTATTTGATTGAATCTGATCTAGCTTTATTATAGAGTTGCTTCACCTAAAAAAGGTGGTGTTGAGCTTGTATGGAGAACATGTGAAGCAGGAGTTGCTTCTTTTTTTCAAAGAAATTGCTTAGTGAACCACCAGTATCTTAGCTATGAACTTCCTGCCCGAAAGAACCTGCCACTAAAGATGCTTTTAGATACTTTCTCATTTCAATTCCTTGCTCTAAACCTTAAATTGTATACGTAATTTATTTCTTACTGATTGGTGTGCCCAATAGATTGTTTCTAGTCATGCATTCGGCATTGCGGGACGACATGTAGTTCTCTTCACGTTCATCCTCGAAATTGCCACTTGCCCCGTCTATAGGCGAATTACTTGTTATTCGGGTTTAGAGTTATTCTGAGATGTGCTATTTATTGATATTTATGTCTTTGGACCAGGTAATTTTTTTAATCAAAAGTTCATCTCATCTATCACATCTCATCTATACATACCTTGACCAGGTTCACCCAAAAAATTTGACTCATAAAGGATTATTCATAACTTTAAAAAAAGAAAAATGTTAGGGGTACACCAAAGGTGTACCTCTTTTGGTGTACCTCATTTGTCACCACTCCCCTTGTCCACATAAATGGGCAAGAAATTCAAAAAAAATAAATAAAGTTCAAATAAAAATAAATGGTGGAGAAGAAGGTGATGTACATTTAGGATACATCTTTAGTATAAAGTCTACCCCTAGCATTGCTCTTTAAGAAAATCCAATAATCTGAGTCCAACCCATTCCCGCGGCGGGCTTAGAAAGGACCGGTTTTGAAGTGTGTCGTGAGTTGGCAGTCTTTTTTTCCTTCTTTTATTTTAAAGGGCAAATTGAGCTTTACTTAATCGTTAAGACTCGTGAAGAAGAAGAAGAAGGAAGACAGGTATTATCCACCCTCAGATCTCGGTGTGTTTTTCTCTAATCGTCTCTATATCACTGTAATTAATTTCTAAGATCTCGATTCATCTTCTCATTCTCGATCGTTTTTTTATGGTTGTGTGGCTAGAATTTGTGGTTCTGTTGATTTTTATTACTGTATGATTTTAATTAGTTGCTGGAAGATTGATTGATTGATTAATGGCTACGGATGCACCGAGTTGGGCAGATCAATGGGGCGCAGAAGACAACCCCGAGAATAAGATGGAGGAGAAGAAGAAGAAGAAGGAAGCTCCGTTTTCTGCGAAATTCAAAGCTGTGATGGCCGATACGACACAGAAGAGCAAAGATGCGGCGTCAAAGGCCGTCAGGTTTTTCAAGAGCAACTTGCCGTCGCCGAAGAAGAAGAAGAATTCTACTTGAAGAAGAAGAAGAAGATGGGGGGGCTGATCTGCTTCTACGGCTGATATAATAAGATTGATATTGTGTTTGTGTAATTAATTTATTTGCCTCTTCCGTTTGAATTTTGATACTCCATTGTCAATGGTCCTTCCAAGATTATTATTGCTCCCAATTCACTTTTGTTATGTACTTTCCCCGTTTCCCACACACACAAAAAAGAGTCCATCCTTGAAGTTCCTTAGATTTTGGTTACAGATTGGTGGAAAAGAATGAAATCTGCACATGATATTTGCAAAAATTTATGCTTATTTGAGTTGAGAGGGAAAGAATAAAACTTTGGACATGATTTATTACACTAAGTTTCAAATAATATTGAATTTCAATGTCATAAATTACATTAAAGTTCTATGGTGTTTAGTTTGACTTTAAAGTGACTTTGACCTCCTAACATTCATATGAATCCTCAACTCATTCCTTACCCACCTCCCTCATAATTATTGTTGACACTTTGGTTAGAATTTTTATCAAATTGCAATAAGAGGTATAGGCGGATAGGAAACGAGCTCGGGTGAAGATTCAGAAAGAGATACGAATACTTCGAAATTGAATGAAACACTTTAAAACTTCAAAATGGGCCAGTTGTCATCTTAAGACATTGAGTCCAATATCAACATAACTAATTTGAATTGTTTAACATCTACGCGCAAGTGGTCATGTCACGAATGCTATTCTTACAAAAGAGCTATGTTTTGCATATCCTAATATTGACACTACTCTTCCTATAGATATTTATATATTCTATCAAAATGATAGGTGTCTGCAAATGATGGTCTCAACGTGCCAAATTTGAGATGATTTAATATTTTTTGTTACTTTAGATGACAAATGGAACGCAGACACGGAGAAAAAATTGAATGAAAATAAAAATTACTTGATTTTATGAAAAGTGTAGACTTAGACTTTGACCATAAGTTGGTGAAAAGTCAATGCCCAAGGACTTTTCAAAGATGTCCAAAAATAAATGAGCCAAAGTTTGAGCAAATCGACTTTTCCATTGGGAGTAGTTTTAACTACTACGAGTATAAAACTTTGAAAGAGCAACTATATGTCTTGATGCTGAGTAAAGTAAAACATTCGTCCCAAATTAATATTCACAATGCTCTTTTGAGTTATCTCAAAATAATTTTTTCTCTTCATTGTTTTTCAAAAAAGTAAAAAAAAAACATTTGATGCACACCTTTTTTCTTTTTTTTAAATAAATTTCAACCACCAACCTTTTCCTTTTTTCAAACAACTTTCTTAAATTTTATGAAATCAAAGTATTACAATTAATTATTCAGGACATGAGTAGTAAATGGCCCAAAACCATTCACAACAAATCAAGGTTGTGTTTGGCATTAACTTTTTAACACTTCAGAAAACTTATCCAACAATAATCTTTAACATTAACGTTTAAAAATTAATCTTCACCATTAAAAAAGAATCCGATCTCTAACACTAATTGCAAATGTTGTTCCCGAAGAAACTTGCTTTTGTCTAGCAGGGTGAAATCAAAGGATGTACATATTAAGAAATTTCCAATCCATCTCCAACTAAATGCACACCCCAAATGTGTTCTCCCCACTATAAGTCATGTAAAGGAACCCATCTTCATCCTTGTTCTCCTCATAAATTGCAGACAGCATTGCAGCTGCAACCATATGCACAAATAAAAAATGAATTATCAGAAGGAAACAACTAAAGAGCAAAGACATGTTTGAGACTTTGAGTTCTTAAATAATGTCCGAGGTATTGTAAATTTATAGAAAAAACAAATTATCACTTGGGAAACCACGACTTTTCCGGTTCTTTTGACACCAAGGACCAGTGTCATAATATGACAACCTAATGTGGTGTCAAAAGAACCTTGGGGTTACCATTTTTTTATAAGAGCCTCTTCTTACGCGTGGAACTCACGGCATTGTACTCTAGAGATGAACCAACATAGGAACAACAGAGTAATTATTGAAATTAAGAGCCACAGTTGTAGAAATGCTCTTGTATAACACTAGGAGGACGGTATAACACTAGGAGGACGAATCAGAGTGTGAACTCACCTGTTGGTGGCAGCATGTTTTTGACAAAGACAAATATAGCCTTCTCGGCACCAAGCTTGATCCTCTTTCGGACCACATAGACAAACTGCCCTATAGTGAGGTCAGCTGGGACAAGGTATCTAAGTTCCCAAAAAAGGTAAGGCATCGCAATTATTATCACAGTATTATTATGAACAATCAATCAAATATTAAACGATGAACAATAAGAGTAAAGCAATCATCACACAAAAAATATGAACCCCTAAAAAGGTACCATCTACGCCTAACTTACTCCTATAACTCAAGCTCCAAGTTCAATTACACTACATTGTTACATACCAAACAAAAAACAACCCCAGTAGAATCCCAAAGAGAATGGGGTTTGAAGAGGGTGTGTGTACGAAGCCCTTACCTCTACTCAAATATAGAGGTTTCCAAGAGACCCACGAATATGAACACAAAAGAATAGACAAAGTAAACACAGTCGCACGAACAAAGTAAGTGCACAATGACACGTAGCACACATACCGAAACTAGTAACAAGACCCAAAGCGCACATGCACAAGCTACAGGCTGAAGTACAAGAGAAAAAGTTCAAAGCACCACCAAAAAAAACATGCTAAGGCCCAAAAGCCTACCAAAAATTACATCGTTACATAACAAAACGTGAAATAATGAACAAAGTGATTTCGTACAAAGAAATATGTTGATGGAGATGAAGAAACCTACTTTTTCTTATCAATATCAGGAATGTCACTCCTTTCAGCTTTCTCAACAATCACCTGAATGCAACAAAAAAAACAATGTAAAAGAAAGCATTACAGGAACATAAAGCCAGAACCAATAGTAATAAGAGATTTTTCTTACTGGGATTCTATCAGGATACTTCTCCCTGATGCGAGTCGATTCTGCCAGCCTCCTCTCTGACCAATTGGAATTTTAAAAAAAATTAAGGCCGAAGAAATAATTAATCACTTCTAATAGCATGCCCTTTAACTAAAAAATATATTTTATCACAATAAAAGCTCCCCAGAGAACTCCTTACTAAATACTCCGTAATTAACAACCCCTTAAAGTGTTCCTAAATAAAGTCTGCTTTTCTAATTTTGTAAAAGAGTGTTACTTCATGATATTGCCCTCATTTCGAATCACCCCCCACCATCATTAATTACGAAAAACATGGAAGTCAAGAGGGGGAAAAGTTATATTTGTTGAAAACCATGGCAGCAGACAATTCAAACCAAGAACTCCATATTAGAACATTACAATCTCAGGGTAGCCACCACCATCAAACAGTGCAAGTCGGGAAAAAGATTCAACTTGTAGTTATGTCACTTTACAATGTTTGACCTGAATTACTCTCAGTTAAATTTATTTAAAAATTTGTGTAGAATTAAAAAAATAAATTTTACATATTTTAAAACTATGACATAATCTAATCATGTTATTTTATAAAATGAGTAAAAAAGTAGGCAAAGAAAGTCAATATAATTTAACCCTGTGAATAGGGAACGATAACATCATTTTCAGACGGAGGGAGTAGCTATACCACGACAACATCTAATCGCCTTCATATAACTAGTTGAAGGGATTCTTCAATCTAAAAATAACTTTTACACTGAGGATGAAAATTGTCAAATTCAAAAGGTGTAGTTTGATAGACTATCATGACAAGTAATGCAATTAAATATAAATTGAGTACAAATTTACATAACGCATAGAATTGATTGTATTACATATTTCCAAAGTACACCACAAAACATGAACAAAACAAATCTAGATGATCTTAAACCTAAAAAGCACATAAAACCCCACATCAGGGCACTTACAGTACGAATTGATCCTAATTATTACTCCGTATTACCAAAATTCAACCACTGATCCAATCATGTTCGTATAAACAGATCGACACAAAACAAATTTAAGTTTATTTTATAAGAAGATCACAACAAATTTCAAAACACGCAAACAGAAATAGAATTACAGGTCTTACGTATTGAACACTCAATCTTAGAACTGGGAAAGGCGAAGGGAAAGATCATATACCGAAAGAATTTTCCAGCTTGAATGAACTCTTCGCCATGGCGGGACTCGGACTTTGATCTGTCTACAAAAAAATCAGGGATTGGAATCCGAGAATATAAAGCGGAGTACGATCATGGTCGAAGAGAAAGATATCGAACTCACCAAAGACGTGAAGACGAAGAAGAAAAATGAAATAAAATTAGGTATTCCGAGAAGTAAAGGATGATGATATAAAGTATTGGGACTCCGTACATTAAATTCCTCACCTGAAAAAAATCCTTTTGTTGCACGCCACCTCCTTCCGTTTGGGCTGGGGTGGGTCCATAAAATCTTGCATTTTTAAAAATTAAGTACTTAAAAATAGGTATAAAAAAAAACAATTAATTAAGTTTACATAGGTAAAGCTCGTTATTTTTGTCTTAGTTTTAGTGAAAATTTAGGGTTTGGAAGATGAAGTCTCAATACAATATTAGTTTTACTAGTACTCACTCCGTTCCTAAAAAATTATCATAGTTTGACTTTTTTGATCAAGGTATGATATCCTTTGACCATAAATTAAATATAGTTTAAAATAATTAAATATTATAAAAATTTGATATTTTAAAATTATATTTTAAAACAAACTCATTTTTACTAGATTTACATTATAACAAAATATACTTTTTTCATAATTTATAGTCAAAGGGTGCCATAGCTTGACCAAAAAAGTCAAACTGTGACATTCTTTTAGGAACACGGAGGAAATATTAAAAAGTTGGAAAGAACAAGTCCATTTTTTTCATCATGTTAATATACACCATCCATTTTTATTACAATTCTCACAAACATTTCTGTATTGTAATAATCTGCTTTAGTGTTGGGCACTAAACTATAGTATTTCCTTACCAGCTATATTAAATAAATAAATAAAACAATATGAATTCACAAAATTTTGGGAAAAAGTTTTGGAGATTGCATTATTTATTTATTTATTTGCGAGCAGCGTGGTAAAGCTCTAAGTAGTCGAGAGCGGGTCGATTCCAAGACCAATCTTGCTCCATCACCTTCGCACACAACCGGTTCAACCAATCCCGTGCGTCATACCAAGCAGATATTGCTCTGCAACATTTCACATATAATTGTCATTCGTGGTGTCAAATTTGAGATCACTGTAGCAATTAAATGAAAGTTGCATTGCATATTAATACAAAAACGATTCGTTTGTTTTTTCATGCAAAAAAAGTAAAAAATCAATATTTCACTCCATATTAATGTGCAATACATTTCACATTGATCAAAGTTTGTTTAGTTTGACGGGAGAAAAATAAAATTGACGAATATATTGGGACAAAGATAGTATGTTGTAAGGTTGAGAGAATTGAGATTCACATTTCAACAACTTTTATATACTCCGTATGTTTTACATATTCTTTTTGGAGTTTGCCAAAGACAACCCCAAGGATTGGCTTTAACGTAAGAACGGGAACATTTCATTGGTTAAAATAAAACCCGACCCTCTTTTTTTCCCTTTTATTCTAACCAATGAGATGCTCCCCCGCCTTTACCTTAAAACAACCCTAAGAGCTACCTTGAACAAAACCTTATCAAAAGATTAGAGTAAGAAAAAGGTTAGAGCTTCATGCATTTTTTGCCCTAAATCACATGTATATATGTACTTACCTATTGAGAGCATAATCAACTCCACCCGCATCCGCACCATCAAAGCTGAACCCATTTGGTTCAATGCCGCAAGCTTCGGCTCTCTCCTTGTCATGGTCCACATCAAACACCGTATCATAAAGTCCTATATAACACACAAGTTCATTTATTTGTAGCATAACTTGATATTCATATAAGTACAAAGACAAGAAGAGAAGGAAATAATCCACGGGATCCAATAAAAAAAATATGAACAAAGACAAAAGAAAAGAAGGAACTAGATCTTGTTCTCTCCGTCTGATCTGTTTTTATTAAGGTCTGATCTGGTCTGACCTTGATTGTAGTTATATTTAAAGTTGTTTTTCATCTTATATGTTCTGATCTGATTCCAATAAGAATAAGTAATATGTAGTAAGTAATAAGTATAAGTTGAAGAGAACAAACTGTTAATCTACTTGCCTCCAGTCTTGCGAACAACGGGTATAGAACCATATCTCATTGCTATGAGCTGAGTTAGTCCACATGGTTCAAATAAAGAAGGGACAAGGATAAAATCTGAGCCGGCGTATATCTGCAATCATATTTTACAATGAATGATTTGTGATTAGAAATGGCCAACCATTACAGAACTATGAAAATAACAAGGCAAAGTTTGGTAAGCTCTAATGCAATGCAATGGAATCAAACACGTAGGAGTAGACTTTTGTACTATGCACTGATTCCATTACATTGCATTACAAGTTACCAAACATTGCCTAAGAGCATATATAAATACCAGGTGAGAAAGAGGTTCATCGTATGTTAGACAGAGACGCGCACGGTCAGCAAAAGCCGAATGAAAATGGTTTGCCAAGTTTACAAATTCACTTTGAATGCGCGGATCGGGTGCTGACCCTAGCAAGACTACCTGTCATAGGACAAAAAAAAACCTAGTTAAATCCATAGTAAAAAGCAAAGGAGAGTGAAACCGCAATGCAATTTATTTAGCTTTTACAAGTACCTTTGAACATTTTTTGTCCCATAAACTCTTGGTGAATATGTAAGCACTTGGGTGTCACTTGGCAAAACGTTTTTGGTTTTTGTTTTTTTGTTTTTTTTTTTTTGAAATATGGAGTTGGGATCATATTGGATTCTAATCATTCTATTGTCATGGTAAAAACATGGGTTTACCTGTCCATTACGTTCCATAGTACGATACAGGGCGTGTTTAATGAGGTGGAGTCCTTTCTGGTGCGTTAAACGGGTAATGATTCCCACCACCGGATAATCGGCTCTCCTCAGCCCTAGTCTTTGTTGTAGAGCTTCTTTTGCTGCCCTTTTCCCTTCAACAACATTATCTGAGGCATATGAAATCTGCATAGAAAATTACAAGGAAAATTTATGCATCATAAACTTCAAAGGCAACAACAACAAACCCAGTAAAATCCCACGAAAGTCAATAAAAAGATAAAGTGAAATTTGCACTAAATAGGACTAGAACATAATGAATTTCCTAATATAGGACTTAAACTTTTTTATTCCCTAAATAGGACTTAATAATGACATAAAGGGAGGAATAATGTCTACTTGATAATGACCAAAGGTCCTACATTGGGAAATAAAAAAATATGGTCCTATATTGGGAAAGTCATTATGTTTTAGTCCTATTTAGGTAAATTTCTCAAAGATAAATGACTTACCGGGATGAATTTGTCATTCAACGGGTCCCAGATGTCGGGATCAATCCCATTAAGTATGCCATGAAACTTGTAAAGGTGTGGGGCAATTATTGGGTTTCCGGACACTTCCTTCGAATAATTGGGCGATACCTACAAGTATGAACATGAGAAAAGCCATATAAGTTTCACAGCTTCCACAAAATGCAATTATGGAATACAAATGAATAGATCACTTTTAATGAAAAACTTACCGTTGTGACTTTATCCGAGTATTGCATTGCTTTGCCAATGAAATGTGCGCCGAATTCAAGGTTATGAATTGTGAAGACAAGACGAGCTTTGCCAAGAGAATTGTGGCGGTATTGCTCCTTAAACAACCATGCTACTGGAGCACTTGACCAATCATGGCAATGGATTATATCCTACAAAGAAAGAAAAAACAGAAAAAATCACTGGCTGGATTCACATATATGCAGAGTAGAAAAGTGTTAATTTCCTTCAAATGGATTTAGTATATAGTTCAGGGAGAATACACGATAATGAAGAGGAACAAGGGGGAAAAAACACAGTATAACATACCGGATGGAATCCACCCTGCTGTAGAAACTCCAAAGAAGCATTACAGAAGAAGCCGAATCTCTCTGCATCATTGTTACAACCATATATGCATCCTTTCCAAAAGAAGCTGTGGGGATGATAATAAAGAAATGACCACATAAATTGGAGCAATCAAATTACTGAGCAAGAGAAAGAATGTTTCAAGAGCTACTAGATGTATAGTTTTCAGCGCATGTAAGCATACCCGTTTTGAGGCTCCAAAAAGTACACTGAGAGGCCTTCGACTTTCCCAAACCAAACTTTTATTTCAGTTCCACCCCAAGAATAGCTTTTCTTGACATGCAAGTCCTTCACCTACACACAAGACACATACAAACTGTGATGTTTTGGGCAGTAGATGCAATAATGCAATAAGTAGATGGCTTGATGCATCAATCTTAAAGTGCAAATTAATTTCATAAAAGTAATTAACAAAAAATTCATGCAGAAAAGATTAGTGGCAATGTTTTACTTCAAATGCCCTTCAAGCCACAACTTACCATAGCGCAAAAAAGTAGATCAAATGTGGAAACTTGGTCAAGTAAATAGGTTGAGGCTTACCTGAGTAAAGTTCAGACAGTCATACTTGGGAAGGATGATATCCACGGTGTGGTTTAATTCCTGAACGGCGCGGGATAAACTGGTGACAACATCACCAAGGCCTCCCACCTACCAACCAAACAGACAACGATTTCTTACAACCTGGTGGTGTCAATCTTGGTGTCATCAATGGGGTTAAAATATCATTTTCTTTTTCTTAGTTAGGTGATAGAGAAATAACCAATTCCATGTTGAAGTCGACTTATAGATGATTTTTATGGTGGGTTTAACTTAGCAATGGGATGCCTTAGCATTTTTCTTGCTCCAAAATTGACAAGTAAAAAAGATAAGAGTGGATCCCATTTAAGGATACCTTTGCAATGGGAGCCATTTCAACTGCAATGTGCACAATGTGCATGGGAGGCTCTTTAAGAATTGATCTGGACACAGGAATATGATAGTCCATGTTATTCCTGTTGTCAAACACTCCTCCATCTTCTTTCTCAGAGAACACAAAGTCCATCATATATGCATCCAATGGAACTTTGACTGCCCATCCCAATGGAAGAAGAAAAAAAAGCATTTTTTTAGCACAAGAATTATATGCAAGGCATTGATACTCTGATTCAACGAAAGATGAAAAGCATTTTAATGTCATACTTGATAAACACTTCCAAACTTGCAAAGAGTTTAAGATATAATGCCAAGCATACACTTTGAGAAAAATACTGATACAGAGATGGCCGTAAAATTGTTATGATAGTATTTGGAGCCTTACCATCTGCCTTAACATGTGAACTGTTTTCGACAGGAAGCATTTTCTGAGGTGGCAGTGGGCCCAAATGGTGAGTCCAGCGGTTAAATGAGCATCTAAACCAGACTTCAGGTTTTCCACTTAGGACTGTATTAGCAGGATTATAGTGAACTGTGACTGTACTCCCAGCTTCAACATCAAAAGGCACAGTGTATACTATGTGTTTCTGAGACAACAAAAATGACTTCCTAGTTCTTTCTTTCATCTCTGCCTTCATGCGTGCTGTTCTTTCAGCCTGCAAATGGAACAGTGTTAACTTGTAAAAGTTGAGTGATTAAAAATAGTTAAAATTACATTCACGTAAAGTTGATCCGACCTAAAATACTGAGTTTTGAACAAAGATTTTGGTAACCAAACCAGAATAACTGAATAAGAATCATGTAATTTAGTGTGAAATATAATTTGATAAAAAAAATGTTATAATGATATTGTGTTGTTATCTTACTTTTTTTACAATGTAAATATTTTAAATTTTATAATTTTGTTGTATGTATCCAAAAAATAATAAAAAATTCAAAAGAAAGTATTATTTTTTTGGAAAATGCAAGTACTAATATAAATTTAAGTGTTCTTAAAATAAATGATCATATAGCATGTTGGGTCGTCTCAAATCTGATGACGCTGGATCATGAACATGCATTTCCCAACCCAAACACGAAGGAACCAAACTCGACCCCCTGGATGTAATGATACATTTCACATTCTAATTATCTTGATTAAGAAAAACTGACCTTAGCCCGTATTGCCTCATCCTTTAACCTTCTCTCCTCCTGAAGTCTCATATATATTTGATGTTCTTCCTCAATCCAATACAGTTCTTCCTGGGGTTTTCCTACGACAATGGCATGAAAGTCCTTCCGAGAATTGTTATCATAAACCATTGCATTCCCAGGCGGCCCATCAGCAAAAACCCAATCCAGGACAAGTGCTCTATCAGGAACAACAACTGAAGAATAATAGAGAGGAAATAAAACCTTTATGCAAGTATCCCAAAACAAGCTAAGGGTGTGTTTGGATAGAGGGTTTTGAAAGGTTCTAGAGGGTAGAGCTTTGAAGGGCTTAGTTTATACTCCGTATCTTGATTAAAAGAAAGTTTCTAAAAACAAATAAATGCTATATGATCACCAATTATGCCAAGACTTCATTTTTATGAAATCTCAAGTATATATCAAGATATATAGACCTATCTGTCCAAAAAAGCCTCCAAAACCTTCCATTTAAACTAACCCTTAAGTTCCAAGACTGCTAGAAAAATCTGAACTTATGGGCGGGAACACGTCACAGTTCTATTAGTAAGTTGGTTTTTTTGTATGGGGACTAAAACAGTTCTGACTCAAGTAGAAACTTAATAAACATAAATATGTTTCAAGTTCAAGAAGATTAATACACACACCATCAGCATACCACCAGTCACCATCCTTCTGTTTGGATCTGGAAAGCTGTGTGACAATAGATACACCATTTTTCCAATTATTGTGTCCTCCATGAACCCATATTTCCCTAGCATGGGAAAGCAGGCCCGAACTTTTGTTATAATATAATTTAATCTTCTCCTTCCATTTGAAATCAGCCGGTGTTATATACCAGTTGTCACTACCACCAGATTTTAAGGCCTTATCCATTGCTGCTTCTAGCATTTTCTTTGTCTTTGAAACCTCTTGTTTGGCCTTAGCTCTATCAGCCTCACTTGCAGCCTTCTCTGCTTCTATTTTTCTCCTTTCTTCTTCTTCTCTTTCCCTTTGTGCTTTTTCCTCGGCCATTTTTTGCAACTCTCTCTTCTTCTCCTCAAGCAAGAAATTTTCAAAGTCAAGAGCAGACATACCACCTTTTATGGTTATAGAGAAATCTTTCATATTGTTGTTTTCGTAGACATCCTTTCCATTAAAAAACACAAAATGAATATTGTATGCTTCCTTGGGAACATGAAGCCTGCAAGACCACCAATCTCCTTTTAAATCTGTCTTGTTAAGATCCATTGTAAAAGATTTCCAACGCCAGTCGTTAAATCCTCCTGTGATTATTACACAAGACTCATTTTTCAAAGCGGAGAGACTTTTGTTAAGAAATATTTCCACCTCTTCATCGGGTTTTACCTCATCGGGATAACAGAAAAAATTGTTCTTTCCCATGAAATTTTCCTCGGCAAGCCTTTCAACAGCTTGCCTTTTTCGATTTGCTTCCATCTCAAGCTTTAACTTTAGAGAGTGATCATCTTCCTTTTGTCTGCTTACAATAACCTCGGATTCTATCTCATTTGAAGCATCACTTCCCAAGATACTTTCAGCAATGGATGTTTCTTTCAAATTCTTGAACTGTAAACTTTCATTATCAGATAATGACATATCCTTTAATCTGGTTCTATCTGAAACAACTAAAGCACCACCAGTTGCTACTCGTTCCACCTCAGTTGAATTTGTTCGATTCCTTGTAACTTTTCTGGCTACCCCATTGCTTGCAAACTGAGTTAAATCGGTAACAGTTTCTTGATCTCCAGTTTCCTCTTCTTCTTGAACTCCTTGAATATCATCTTCATTGTCATCAATTTTGGTATCAACCTTTTTCTTGTAGGGAGCTTCAGATTCTTTGGATGTTGAAGTTTTTTGACTTTCTCTTTCATTCTTGCTCTTTTGATCCCTTCTTCGGTTACTCATTCCAGCTGCTGTTCTCGGTGAAAATCCTTTAGGGGAAGATCCTTCGCTTCCTGGAGTTGAAACTCTTCTCTTCCTTTTTGAAAATTCTTCATAAAAAAGAGGTACTAATGGATTATTCAAAAAATAAATAAATATGGAGTAGTCTTTTTTTTAATTTACATTAAGAAGCATACCAACAGAAGTAACCAACCTGCACTTGCACTAATATGTTGTAGAAATCGTCCCCCCAGTTGAACTTTGTTCTGTTTAGAAGACTACATGAAATGCAGAAAGAATTAAAGAGAAAATTGCAGCAAATCAATGGCTATAGTGTCAAAAATCCACTTTTAGCCATTCACTAGAGAAGTGTTTTAAAAAGACTTACATTTAATTTGTGAGTTAGGGGTAGATAAGGGTTGGAGGAAGATATCAGTGAGTGTCAAGATACCCCATAAAAAAAGAGAGTAGTACCCACACATATAACATAAAAAGGGTATTTTAGTCAAAAAAAAAACACAACATTCCCTTAACCCTTCACTACACCTTTTCCTGCCTCCTGACTTAATTCTACTTTCTGATGCCCATGTTTCCATTCGAAAAAAGTAAATCATAAACCAGGAAAGACCCTGGCTTTATAAATCCATGAAGAAAATTGTAGGCATTATGTGCCTGACCCACCATATGTTATGAGCAATTCTCGGGATCTGTCAATTCCCATCATTTCAAACACGACTTTATGAAATCCCTAGCAACTTAAATCTAACTAAGTCCATTCCAACCACCAAATCAATCCAATGGAGGCCATAAATCTCTCAAAAAACAATTTTGGCAACTAATTCCAATCAAGAAACAAGAACCCAGAACTGAAAATTAACACAGCAATGGTTCCTTAAACTTAGAATTGTAAAAAACAAAAAAAAACACAGGAAATCAGAAAAATCAATTAGAAGAAGAGGAAAAACAAAATTACCTGTGCGGATAGAGTGGTGCAGCCATGTGGGAAGACCCCAAAGAAAGGTTTAGTCTTGAAGAAAAGATTTACTTGTGATGTGCTGCTACTGCTACTGATGATTCTTGTTCTTGAACCCAGAGGTCTCTCAAATGTCAATGGAACCTCCATTGTCTTGGGCTGCCCCAAATCAAAAGAGATGGGAAAAAAACTGATTTTTCTCTTCTTTTTTCCCTGGGTTTCTTGTGCTGCCAATCACCACAAAATCAGCTCAAAACCAGCATTATAATCAGCTGGGTATTTCTTTCATACAGGGAATATATCATTCATGGATGGAGTATAAAATATAGTAAGCGGTGTAATAATAATGCTGCAATAATATGAATCTGCAATTTCGTCTGCGAGCTGGCGATCACAGTCACGAGTCCTAGCCTTTGTGGCCTTGAAGGGCGTATTTTGGGGTGAAACCAAGGGCACCTTGTTAAGGTGTGTAGGGTACCTCTGTGAACTAACGGCTTATATTCTTTCCCTTGATGGATAGGGTCCCCCGGAATATTCTTTCTTTCTTCTTTTTTTTCGCACGGTTAACCGGACGGATCCGGGTAGCGGACTGAGGCCCCGTTTGGTATCAGCGTCAGAGATTAGCTTTAGCGTTTTGAAAAAGCTATCCGACGATAGCCTTTAGCGTTAGTGTTTTCAGAATTAATCTGCACCGTTAAAATTTTATCCAAAACGCTAACGCTAATCGAATACGCTGTTACCAAACAAAGCCTGAAACTCTAAAACCGAAATTGCATAAAGAATCAAGATTCCAGTCCGGATCGACTTGGACCAGTGTTTTCTGGTATGGTCCGGATAAAAATTTTAAAAACCAGATCAACTGATCAAATATTGGCACAGTGGATTTGTGTGGGAATATCATTAGAGATTAGTATTAGTGTTTTGATAAGACTATCTATGGTGAGCATTTAGTGCTAGTGTTTTCAAAGTTAATCTACATCATTAAAATTTTATTCAAAATATTATTGCTAATCGAAAACGTTATTCTCAGACGGACCCACTATCTATGTAGTTTGTTACTCATTATTGCTTAACAAAAATTTCTCCATTATACTTTCCAAAGTTTGATAGGTGTCATATTTATACTCAATACTCCGTATTACGGAGTACTTTATAAAATTAGTAATGAGAATAAACAAATAAAAACATTAAAATTAAAGCATGTGAATATTATATCAAAAGATTCTTTTTGGATACTATTCATCCAAAGATTCTTATTCTAAAAGGGGCGTGAGTAATTTAGTTATACTCAAATATTTATGTCATCATCAAAATTTTCTAACAAGTTAATTTACATAAAAATTAGATTATGAAAATTAATTTGGACCAAAATTTCAACATAATCTTACTACGTTATTCAAAAAATCTGAAAAAACTCAATATATGTCGCCCTAGGTGATCTATATTCGGTTCATGATTTTCCGGTCTGATTTAATTATTTCTTTGGTATGATTTTTCACTTATTTTTTTTTCATGAAATCTCAAAATCGGACTATTATATGTTCATTCCTAGCATCTTTAAAATCGGAGTATTTAATTAAACATCATCTTAGACTCTAATTACTTTTATTTAGCGTCCATTTGTTCAGGGAAAAATTTTTACAACTCTCTACTCACACTTTACGGCCTTCACATCCCCACCCACATCCACTCCCATGCGCCCACTCCTCCAGGCTCAGCCTCCTAACATCGATGCCTTCCTGCCTCGCCCGTCGTCTACTCCTAAGCCCCACCCCCGCACCAACACTCTCCACCCCCGTCTCCCGATACTCCTCATTGAAAATTATTTTCTCGTGAAGAATATATTTTTTTAGGAAAATATATTCCCCTAAAGCACTAATAAATGGATTAATGGACTTTTCTTTTGTTTTGCGTATGAAAAATCGAAGCCCAATACATATTAACAGGCTAAAAGCCCATACATAACAAGTACAGAGTACTCCGCATAGAACTAGACCAGAAAGCCCATTAAAACGGCCCCATATCAGTAAGCAGTAACCTCAAACGGTCGGCCCATCTATCTCTCTCTCGCCGCTCAAACTCTCTACTTGAATCGAAACCCCCAAAATCGAATTCATCATCTTCGTCTTCTTCTCTCTGCGCCGCTCAAATTTCTCCAGAAAAAAATGAAGAAGAAGATGAAACCACCAAGAACCAGAAAACCCCAAATCGGCTACAAATTCTTGAAGCCCGGGGATCTAGCCCAGATCAGGAACTCCAAGATCAAGTCCAGATCCAGAACCCGAGATGCCGGAACCCTAATTTCCCTGTTGCAGGAGAATCGCCAAAGCTCGTCCCCTCCGCCGGAGAATCCAACCATGGAAGACCTTCCCTGCTTCGATCTGAGAATCAAGAATCCCCGTCCCCGGTGCCTCCTCAGCAAGAAGCTCTTTGCTGTCTCCCCCGTTTTCTCACAAACCCGTTCTTGATTCTTTTCCCCGGTATGGTTTCTCTGGTTCTTCTTGTTGTTGTATTTGTATTAAGGTTTGATTTGATGATATTGAACAATAAAAATAGAAGCTTTGTTTGGAATCTGAGTTATCCTTTTCTTTTAATGTTCCTTTGAATGGATTGATTTCTGAAGGATTGATTTTATTACTTCAGTTCATGATTCTATTTTGATGTTTATGTACTAATACTCCATAATTTATTACTTCAGTTCATGATTCTATTTTGTCACTTATTATTTTTAAAATCATTTTAGTTATAAGTAGAACTAGAAATAAGAACTACTCCCTCCGTCCCCCTAAAATCTTCTCGTTTTGACTTTTTACGGTTTGTAAGGAGAGTTGAAAAAAAGGTGAAATTTTACCATAATACTCTTAATGAAAATGGGTGGAGTGTATTAAATGAGGTGGGTGAGGTGTAAAAAATAAAGTAAGTGGGGATAGTTGTGGTATTTTAATTGATAAAAAAGGTAATGAGAAGATCTATGGTGGACAAATAAAAAGGACTAATGTGAGGATATATGGGGGACGGAGGGAGTATAATTTATATCGTTCAAAAGTATATCAAAAATTTTATAAAACAAAACATACTTAAAATATTTTATTTCATCAAATAATCAATAAAAATATACAAGATTACCAAAAATCCTATTGGGAATTGGTACAATCCAAGGCTAAACAACATATTCCTAACGTGAAACTACAAAATCTTAGAAGTAACTAGATTTAGCATATGTTAAAATCCACCATTGGTCTCTAACTTTTTGAGGTTGCATGTTAAAATCTAAACGGTATACAAGCTTCATATAATACGGACTACTTGTACTTATACGGTAAATGTTGCAATGAGCGTGTCTCGGTGAGGTGCCCGATTCAACCACCGCGGGCTCAAAGGGGCGAGGCCAGTGGCGGGAATAAGTTTACTTTTTAAAAAATGGGGTTCAAATTGTATAAAAGAACACAAAATTTTAATTGTGGGAACCCATTATTTCTATATACGTGAAAAAACAATTACCTACGTATGGGTATATGGAGCTAGTACTTTCTTTAGCTTTTAAAATATATTGTTAAAAGGACTGCATCTGGAGGTTGACGAATACTTAAAGGATTATTTATGGACTTTTAAAACTTAAAAAATCAATCGTGCAAACCTCATAAAATTGAATGATTACCAATGAACTTTTGAAATTTGAAGGACATTTTGTGGATAACTCATAAAGTTGAAGATTAATTATGGACTTTAGCCTTTACTCCCTCCGTCCCTAAATATTTGCCACATTTGTATTTCCGAGATAAAATATCAAGTTTTTTCAATTCATTTTATTTATATATTGGTATGGAAATAGAAATTATAATTTACATATAAAAAACTATATGAAAAGTTCTTCGAAATAAGAGGTGTTAAAAATATTTTATTTTATCAAATAACTAATGAAAACGTAGAAGTAAACAAAAGTTTCCGCGTCTGCTGAAAAAGCAAACATTGTAAATAATTTGGGACGGAGGGAGTATCATATTTCTCTTTTTTCTTTTCTATTCATATGTTTGGTTTGTGTTAAAATTCTGGAGGGCCGAGAACAACAATAAGAGTGTTGGATAAAATTAACCACTTTCATATAAAATCGAGATTTATTTTCTAACACAAAAGTTTAAGCTCATAGGTAGAGTTTCATGCTTTTATATATGCTAGTGGTATTTCATTAATTTTTCTGATGTGGATGTTGTAACACTCCTTCTCAAGTCATAATAGTCTGACCTACTTAGCATTTGGACAAACATGTCTAGTATCTCAATCTCTTATAGCTAGCCCTCATAACGGGCGGTGGCTTCTCAAACTCTTATAGCCAAGTCAAGCCAAACTACACACGAGTAGCTCATATCACTTAATCCACGTCTAAATAACCAGAAAGAATCAAACCTAGATCGAACCTGCTCCGATACCATGTTAAATACTAGTCTTAGGCCCAAATAAACCTCAAATGTTAACTCAAGAGGTTAAGGAATCCAAGCCATTAAATATAGCACAATATTAGGATGTTTAGCCGATGTGGGATGAGACAACTAAACAGGCGCTTTTCGTAAGAGGCGTAGATTACTGCGGGTGCGGTCCCAATATCAATGTCATTAACTCTGATTCCATGTCAAAATTATGGTGGGCCGAAGACAATGGGAAGACTGTTGGCCATATCGGGTAAAATTAACCACTTACATATAAAGTCAAAGTCCACTTTCTAACCCAAAAATTTAAGCTGGTAGGTAGAGTTTTACCCTTCTATATATACTAGCGGTATTTCATTATTTTTTCTCATGTGAAAATTGTGATAAGATTGAGCCACCATTTCCTCATATTTTCATTTCTTTTTATAATACCTAAATACCGTGGAAAATTCTTTCTAAAAAAAATTGTTTGCCGTGAATAAACAGGTGTAGTATTTTTTAAAAAATAATACATATTCAATATAATTTTAACCATTGTTAAATTGTCATTGGCAATTTCAACACAAATATTACAATTCAAACACTAGGTTCTATTTTTATTTTATTTATTTAATACCCCGAGTATAAAAAATGATGTCCTTTAGTTTTTAAGAAAAAATAACAATGAAGAAAAATGTCAACGTGATGTTACACATGATAAAAAAGGAGAAATTTACTTAAATAAAAGTAAAACAAAGTCATTTTTCCTAATTAGGACCATGTCTTTTTATTTCCATACTTGATCTAATTAGTTTATAATTAATTTATTGTTATTATCAATATACCGAAATCCCCTTTTAGATTTAAACCCCTAATCTATAATTTTATCTATAACACGACCGCTACGTACATACCGCCCATCAGCTGAATGTTGACCACCACCGCCAGCCGTACACAGTTGCCATCCGCCGTTCATCGCTCCACCCGCCGCCAAGAATCATCTCAAATAATGTCCCTGGCCGGATGAACATTATATATATTGTCTAATACAAAGTATGTTCATTAAAGTCTTTTATCAAACACTATTGTCCACTTTCCTTTGTGGTCTATTCTTTATATATTGTAATCTCAATGACCTCGATTTTCTGCAATAATGTCTTCTATGACATTGACATTGTCCACTATGTTCAAATTAAATTTTTTTATTCACAAAAAGATAATATAATGATCATAGTGTTTAAAGTCCTAAGATGATTAAAGACATTTTAAAAACAAAAAGAAAAGTTTTCTTAAAAATTTAAAGAATATTCCTGATGACTGTTTTTGCCGCTTCTAAAAGTTTAGGCATAATTGCTTAACCAAACTTCATTTCTTCTTGCAAAAATACATTAAATTTGAAGAAAACTTTCACAAAAGTATCTTAAGCATATTTCTACCATGTAACTTTGGGTCAATTGTAATTTTATATGTTTCTAATATTTAATTTTGACCCTACATAATCTCTTTTATTGAGAATCCCTCTTTTTTCTTCTTTAGCAACGCCACTTCCATCCTTGTGTTTCTTCTTCCTCAGCACCTGCCTTTCTATAACCCACTATTATTAATTTTTTCTAAAATGGTACACAAGTTGGGAGTAGTGGAGTACCTATCAACTAATTGGTTGATGTGTTGAATTTCTTAGGACAATTTCTTATCATGTCAAGATTCAGAAATAACTGATTAATTAGTATCTTTTTTTTAAACGATTAATTAGTATCTAATGACCCATTGCATTGCAATTATATAAAAAAAATCTTCCAATTTGCAGATGTTGTTAACACTTGTGGACAAAAACAAATGAACAAGGTTGCATTATTGTTGCTACAGTTTCTATTTCGATGACGTCACTGCTTACCTTTTTTTGACACCGGCTGCTATGATCATGTTGTGTCGTTAGGTGGGCTTGGGTCGGGGTCAAATCCACACAAGTCTATAGTACAATGAGGCCCACTGCCCCCCATTCATTTTGTTAATCTTTACAAAACCTATTTTTAGTACTATATTAGAAGTGACATATTTTTATCTTTAAAATATATAGAAGTAATGTATTGTAATACGGAGTAAGTATTCTATGTTATTTTTTTAATATTATATGTCAATATTATTGACATTATAGATCTTATTTTGAAGATAAAAATACATTAAAGTCTTATTTGGGTCTCTCCCAAAAAAGTTACTCCATCTTTCACTTTTATGTGGTTTTAAGAAATAGTAATATGGTTTAAATTTGGAGTGAGAATTTGTTTGGACAAAAAAACATTTTTTTTAGCTGTCTTCACTTTTTGATAAGGTACTACTCCCTCCGTCCTGAAAAACATGGAAGTTTTGATTTTGAAGAGGGATCTAAGGGGAGTGTTTTTTTTGGATTGAATTTCCAAAAATGTCCTTTGATGTGATGGGTAAAATGATGATTTGATGGATAGATTATTAGTAAAAAGGCATAATTTGTTCATAGTAATAAATGTAACTCAATGCAAGTGGCCAGAGTACAAAAAGATATGATTGGGTTTGATTGTTTACGAAGACCATTTGAGACTTTTTTGTTCTCCATAATGTCTTTAGTTGGACTATGAACATATTTCATTTTCAATTATTTAGTTGATACGGAGTATTAAGAGCATAGCAAATGACAAGTAAAAAATAGAATGATATACTGATATGTAGTATTTTAACCAATTAAAATAAGTTTAGTTAGCGTGTGACAAGTAAGTGGAGTGACATTCCTTCCAATGGTAAATCACTGTCTTTCTTGTTTGGTTAAAGAGAAAAAGAAAAAAAATGGAAAAGAATTTGAGAGGAAAAGAAAAGAAAATGAGATGAAAAATATTTTTTCTTGTTTGATTAGAAAAAAAAAATGAAAGAAAAAGAAAATGAAAAGAAAAAATGTACTAAGAGAAAAGAAAACTTAACTCCTCCCATTTTAATGAGGGAAAATTATTTTCTTTTCTTTTCATCTAAATTCCTTGAAACAAACATAGCGTAAATGTTAATTTTAACTCTCTACCTACAAAAAAATCAAAATGAACAAATAAAAACCAAATGCTCACGGGCTCGAACACACAACGTACGTTTATTGACAGGACATACGCGCTGTATTAATCAAATTAAAATGGTTTCATTTTTTTAAAAATGGTTTGGTCAAAAACGGTTTCACTTCTTTTTTTAGGAAAACTGATTCACTTTGATTTTTCACTCTTGTAATTAGACAATCATATACGTAGAATGCACTTCGATTTGACACATATTGGGAGTGAGTATTTTGTTTTTCTTTTTTGCAGGAAAACATATTACGAGTATTATTACAATGCCTTATGTTCTCTCGATCATAACCATTTACAAATTAAAGAGATGTATTGAAGAATGTGAAAACTTAGCTTCATATATTAATTTATTTATTTTTTAATTCCACGCCAAATTTTAAATAAAATAATTTGAAAATATCTTTAGTCAAACATTATAATATACAACGAGAACATAATTTTTAGATGGAGAGCATTTATTTTTCATATTTTCATGCATTGGATGGAGTCGAATTGATTTAATTTATTAATTGACTAGTCACGACATAGAAATTGCGATTCCTCCCGGGCCAGTTGACCCATTGCCTGGTCGATCACGATTCATGCACTCTATATATATATATATATATATATATATATATATATATATATATATATATATATATATATATATATATATATATATATATATATATATATATATACTCCGTAAAAAGGAATTGAAGAAGTTGGCGATAGGCACTTGACTTAATTAGTTAGTTAGGGGGTCCAATAATAATAACAATAATAATATTAATATTTAATACTCCATTAATTAATAATGAGCACCAATAATGACAATAATAATAATGGAGAGCTGAACGAGAAACTGCTGTCGGAGTCCAAACAGGCCACCGCGGCGGCGGCGGCGGCGGCGTCGGGGGGCGGAGAAACAATAAGCTCGGAGCTGGAAGAGGCGCTGTCGGATCGGAGTTTGTCGAAACTCGGGCGGCTGCGGAGGGCCGCCGGGGTGGAGTTGGGGAACCTGTTCCGGCTGGCGGCTCCGGCGATCGTGGTGTACTTGCTGAACAATGTGACGTCGATGTCGACGCAGATATTCTGTGGGCATTTGGGTAATCTCCAGCTCGCCGCCGTCTCCCTCGGCAACAGTGGCATTCAACTCTTGGCCTATGGTGTCATGGTACGTTACATTACGCAGCTTCAGTATAATTATTCTTCCAATCCAATTAAGGAAAACAATTGAAATTAATTAAAACAAGAAGATACTGTTTACTTTGACACTACTTTTTTACCACAGCAACACACTCAAATTGAAATCTTTTGAAAATTTTAAGGTACTTTAGACTTATTTTCTAAAAGATAAAATTATTTTTCTCATAGTTTGGTTTCAGAGAGTTTAACAATTTGAATAGTGATCTCTAGATTTACGAATAATATATTTTGGAACGATTATGAAAGTAAAACGAGTAATTCATAAGGATGAATGAATTGTTTTTTCCCACAGACTATGTGTTTAGTCGTATGTTACACTTGAATTGGGGACGTGACCAAACTCGTATCCAATAGATTAGTGAAAGATCCTCATTTATACAGCACTAGTTTTAGCTCAGTTGTCTATGTGGAATGTATATATTTTTAGCTTAGTTGTCTCTGTGGAATGTATATATCCAATCCTGTTTAATACTCCATCTGTCCCCCAGTTTTTGTCCACTTTTATTTTTACACACCATTCAATGCATTTCTTTAATCAATTTTATCTTGTAATTTGTATATTAAAAAATTATAAAAATTATATATTAATAATCTATATGTTAAGACAAATCAAACAAGATCACACATGACTATATTTAGGCTTACACATTGAGAGAATTTGATGAGTCAAAGTGCTTAGATGAACAGTTCCAAAAGTTAAAAGTAGACAAAAACTTGGGAACGGAGGGAGTACGTAGTATGATTATTCGCTTGGAACTCCATGCTCAGCAGCTCGTGGTTCTTAAAGCGTCTTAATTCTATCATTGATCAATTTGAGGGGAGTGTTAAAATATATATCCCACGTCGAAAATAGAAAAAAAAAGTAATTGATATATAAGCATGCTCTTGAATGAAACTAAGTAATCAACTACTTTTTCTCTTTAGTTTCGGATCTGGGATACTCTAACGTACGTATATGTTTTGAAACTCATCGAGTTTGGTTCAAGATTGAATTTAAAATGAATTTTTCATTCTACATATTTTTTAGTTTATTTGATTTGTAATTCTATCTGTTAGAGCATTTCCAACCATGTCAAAATTAAATGGTCAGCTAAAATTTGACAAATCAAGGAAAACTTCATGCTCCCAGGGACTTGCCAATTTTTGGAAAGCTTGCTTAAAAATGAAAATGACTTGGTATTAGTAACAAGTTTGGTGATATATAGCAAGCCAAAAAGAATATAGACAATTTTATTCTTAAAAACCCATAGAAAAGATATTTGATATGATACTCCGTATTAGTTAATTTTTTAAAGGCAAATTTATCAATTTGTTGCTCTCTGCATTTAACAATAATGTTCTCGTTTACTATTTACATCGTCAAACTTTATTCACTTTATTGGCCTATTTTTATTGTCCATTTGATAAAATAATATATTCATGTAATTTTTGTTCTTTACATTTCATACATTTTTCATATAAAATAATTTAAAAATAACTTTAAGAAAATATCGTAACATGCAATAAGAATATTATTATTAGACCGATAGAATATAATTATGATGGAATTAGACATAATGAGAATGAATATAGCAATACCCTATAATTATTTTTAAAATTGAATTTTTTATTATATAATTTGTCGGATACATATGCCCAAATGGCCCTAAATAAATACTCCGTACATTGTTTTTTTTAAATGGATCACATGTTTTGCTTTTTTGACTATCACGCATATGCTTTAGCTGCTTCGAAATTATTGCTTGTGGACCTTTGTGGTAGATGTAGATATTATTAGTCCGTCTCTGAGTGTTTGTCCATTTTTGACTTTTGGAACTGTTCATCTAAGCACTTTGACTTATCAAATTCTCTCAATGTGTAAGCCTAAAAATAGTCATGTGTGATCTTGTTTGATTCGTCTTAACATATAGATTATTAATATATAATTTTTATAATTCTTTAATATACAAATTACAAGATAAAATGGATTAAAGAAGTGCATTGGATGGTGTACCAAAAGGTAAGTGGACAAAGACAATGGGACGGAGAGAGTAATTGATTAAATTCACACTAAATATGAGTACTCCATTTGACTCAAATTTTATGTTACTTTCACTATTACGATTTCTCGATAATTTTTTTATTTATATATATTTATTCATAATTTAATAAAATAAAATATTTTTACCACCTTTTATTTTATAGAGCTCTTATATATATACTTTTAAAGAATGTAATTTATACTTTTTATATCTATACTAATTTATAATTAAAATGATTTTAAAAAAGATGGGATTTTACACACATTGTTTGGGATGTGGCATCCAATATGGGACGGAGGGAATATACAATAACAATATTTATTCAATTTATATATTACCCATCCGATTTTAAAAAAATTTCCTGTTTTGATTTTTTGGCCAAATAGTGACATTCTTTGACAAGAAATTAAGCATAATCTTTATACATTAATAATATAAAAACGTGATATATCACACTATATCCTAAAATAAATCCAAATATATTGAATTTAATTTGTAATTAAATATATTTTTCTCACAATTTGTGATATAAAAACTATCAATAATTAACTAAAAAAGTCAAAACAAGAAAAGTTTTTAGGACTGGGAGAGTAGATAATCATGTCAAATTTTTGTATAATTTAAAGACGGTAAAATTTATGAATTATTTTATTTCTACATATACTTGAATACATTTTCATGCATTTTTTCGACGGCCAAAGAAAAACCTTCATTCCCAAAATATTTAAAACTTTACCCAAAATGAAAGACATTTTCATGTTTTTTAATTTATTTTATTTAAAAATTAATATATAAATTAAAAATAAAACTTAAATATTTAAAAATTACATCAAAAACATTACAAACCAGAGGTGACAAGAATTTTTTAAATCAATAATCAATCAAAACGTACCAATAAATAAAATTTTCATGATTTTTGGATAAGTGAAGAGTGTATTTTTTTTTGTGACGGAGGAAGTATTAAATAAGCCAAATAAAGTTGTTCACTAACAATAAATATTCTTATTCTTGTCATCTGTTATGTTATAAAACTTTTTTATGTACTTCTAAATGGGAAAATTTATAGTTTTTATTTCTATAATAATTTGAAATTTAAATTATTTTAAAAATGATACAATTTTACATATTGTTCAAAGTGTGGCATCCAATATGGACAAAGGAAGTACTCCCTCCGTCCCCAATTTGATTACAATTTTTTTCTCTCTCTCCTCTCGATAACTTTTGTTTGTTTAAAATAAAATATTCTTGCCACCTCTTATTTTGTAAAACTTTTGACGTAGTTTTTTAATATCTAATTTTTATAACTTATTGATATACCAATTTGTAAATAAAATGATTTCAAAAAGTAGGAAATTTTACTCCGTAACCCGCAATTTGTAATCAAATTGGGACGGAGGGAGTATGTTTTAATTTGACTTAATAACTCGAAGCTATATAGGGAGTAACAACAAAAAATTGATGAGAGCTTAACTAAAAATTATATTCCTGAACATACATATTATATTCCGTACATGATAGTGACTCTTCTATATTAGAAGTCACAAGTTCAAATTCCAGTGTGAATAATAACTTTACATGCTTAATAAATTGAGAACATATGAACAAATGCTATATTATAATATACGGAGTAGTTATTAGTGTTATAAAATTATATCATACTCCCCCCGTCCCGTAAAACATGGGAGATTTGCTTTTTAGGAGGGATTTAAGGGAAGTGTATTTTGGTATTGAATTTCCAAAAATGTCCTTTGATGTGATTGGTAAAAGTATGATTTGATGGATAGATTATTAGTAAAAAGGTATGATGTAATAGTTAGGGTATGAAAAAGTAAGGGGTAAAAGTGACTTTTTAATAGAAATGAGAAGTATTTTGTGGGACGGATAAAAAAAGAAAGGAGAAATTTTTTGTGGGACGGAGGGAGTATTGTTGAACATAATAAAAAATCTCTTCACTCAAGGAAGAGAAGGGTGTCATCCTAAAAGCTGGAGCTGACATAAATGTCAGTCAAGTCGCGTTTGGGTTTAGTCCTTCAATTTCGATTTCTTCAAGTTCGAGTAAATTCAAATTTTGGTTGGGTACAACATATTCATGACTCTGTATCATCGAATTTGGGTCGACCCAACGTATAATGAACGATTATTATTAATAATTTAAAAAATTTATATGTACCTTTTTAAAAAAAGTTCTCCTTATAATAACAATACAATGTCATTATGTCGTTTGAAAATACTCCCTCCTTCCCTAACTTGCCTTCTTATTTTGACTTTTATAGAATTTAAGAGATATATTTTTATGTTGTTTTTTCAAAAATATCCTTAATGTGATAGATACATAAAAGTAGGATGTAATAAGTATACTATTATTAGTGAATAAATACGATGTGATAGAGAGGATAAACATTAGTAGAGTTGTAGAGGATAAAAATAGTTTTTTACTCCGTAATAAAAAAGAGAAAGAAGTTTTGAAACAATGGAGAAAAAGAGAGGAGAAAGACTTAGGGAGTGATGAAGTGTAAGTTAACTAAAGCACACAAAAAGAGTAATAAGAAAAAAAATTGGAAAAACAGCTAGGGGTAGACAAGGTTTACCACTTTATATTACCCCAATTTGCGTACAAGTATACCACAGACAAAGGCACAACCAATCATTGTGTGTGCGCGTCCATATATAGTGCATTTGGTGTGAAAATTGGGATATAATAAGCTTGATGAACCTTAGCACACCTCAAAAAATTAATAGTGTAATGTAACATTATTTTATTGCAAAAGATCCGTTAGGTCGAGTTCGAAGTTCAACAATTTTAGTGGGTTTGTTAACTTTCGAATTTGTTCAACGTTTAACTTATTAAGCGTTTTTCAAGTAATCTATTCCATGAATAAATGATCCAAAAATCCTCATAATGCATATTATTCTAATTATATACTTACATGCATGAACATGTATATGTATATATATATATAATTATATATACATATATGCAGCTTGGAATGGGAAGTGCAGTAGAGACACTATGTGGACAAGCATATGGAGCACACAAGTATGAGATGCTTGGGATATATCTGCAGAGATCAACAATCCTTCTAATGCTGGCTGGACTCCCCCTCTTGTTGGCATACATCTTCTCCAAACAGATATTGCTCTTATTAGGGGAGTCCCAAGCCGTTGCCTCCGCCTCCGCCCTTTTTGTCTACGGCCTCATCCCCCAGATCTTTGCCTACGCCACCAACTTCCCCATTCAAAAGTTCTTGCAGTCCCAGAGCATTGTCAACCCTAGTGCATACATATCAGGTATATACACTGCACATACTTTTTTCATCTCGAAATATTTGTCTAGTTTTGACTTTTTTAGTCAACTAATATCAATTTTTGACCTATATAATTCAATGAAAAATTAGACTCCCTTTGATCGCAAAAACTGGTCAAACAGTAATACTCTTAAGAACTCTTTTTGAGCTTTCAACTGCTAGGCGTGCCACAAGTCAATAAAGCTTCTTAACAACGTGTTTGAGAACAATGTTTTTGACTAGCGTTGATGTTTTTTGATAAAATTTTAATGGTCTAGAACGCGTCAGATAGTTTTTTCAAAACGATAACGCTAACATCTAAAACTGATGCCAAACGGGACTTCAACTCCTTGTTGAGTTGGTTCGTCAACGTAAACATGATATCGAAGTCTTGTTGTGAATAAATAACATGCACTTAGTAATATCCCTAAATAGCACTTAGTCATGTCCATAATGTCCAGTGATGATTAATATTTACTTGAATAATGACTAATGCATAATGACTAAAAGTGTTACATTGGGAAGAAAAACACATGTGGTGCTATTTAGAGAAAGTCATTATGTTTTAGTGAAATTTGCACTAAATAGGACTAAAACATAATGACTTTCCTAATCTAGGACTTAAACTTTTTTATTCTCTAAATAGGACTTAATAATGTCTTCGTGGAAGGAATAATGCCCAGCAATGATAGACATTATTTGAATAATGACTAAAGAATAATGACCAAAGGTCATGCATTCGGAAATAAAAACATATGGTCCTATTTTGGGAAAGTCATTATGTTTTAGTCCTATTTAGGTAAATTACTCTATGTTTTAGTGCTATTTTAGTAAATTCCTCTAAATACAATATTACCTGCAGGGGCAACGCTGGTGGTGCACCTATTGCTGACGTGGGTGGTGGTGTTTGTGCTGGACGGCGGACTGCTGGGGGCGGCGCTGGTGCTCAGCCTGTCGTGGTGGATCATAGTGGCGGCCCAGTTCGCCTACATACTGCTGTCCAAAAGGTGCGAGAAGACTTGGGGCGGGTTCAGCTGGAGGGCATTTTCGGGATTGTGGGATTTCTTCAAGCTCTCACTTGCCTCTGCCGTTATGCTGTGTTTGGAGACTTGGTATTTCCAGATTATGGTTTTGATTGCTGGCCTTCTCCCTGATCCTGAGGTCGCTTTGGATTCTCTTGCTGTTTGGTATGTCCCATTTTTCAATATAATTCTCATAACCAAAGTCCAAAAGTTTGAAGTTTTTTTTTTTATTAAATTCAAAATTTAACAACACCCATTTCATATTAGTTTTAAGATGAGTTTTTTTTGCGCCATTTATCTCAATTTTTAAAAGTTCCATGGATTCCCTCCGAACTTCAAAGTTACACAGTTAAAAATGTTACACCAAATGCCTGTATATGTGTTGGGCTGAGCAACGGTCGGTTTCGGTTTGAAACCGAAAAAACCGACTTTTTTTTAACATGGTTAAAAACCGACCGAACCGAACCGACCATAAATTAAAACCGACCGAACCGAAACCGAAAACCGCCCATACATCAAAAAAACCGACCGAAAAACCGAATTCTAATTACTTTTATTTTGATTTTTTAATATAAATTCAAGAAACTAATTTGGCAAGGTAGATTGATATGTATTAAATTAGTTTAGATTAAGACTTTTCTATTGTCATTGATTTAGTAAGGTAGATTAATTTTTATTTGAATATATACAATCCATTTCATATAAAAATTGCACTTTTCTTATTAATATGTTCAAAATATTAACAAATAAATTTTTTAAAAGTGAAACATTAAAGTTTTTCATGAAAGACTAAAAAGAAAGCATGTATGTTAATCAAATATTTTCTTATTTTAAAAAATAAAAAATAAATTAAAATAAAATCATCGGTTATTCAGTCGGTTCGGTTTTTGTTACCAAAAAACCGAAAACCGACCGAAAAACCGAAAAAACCGAAATAATTTTTACATGAAAACCGAAACCGAAACCGAAACCGAACTATGAACTTATCTAAAGTTATACTCCGTATATCACACGTGAGTTGTGCAACATGCTTTTCGCAGACAATTTTTTTTCCATATTTTTAACCTCTTTAGATTTTAGATAATTGTTCTTGATTTAGTCATCGATAACCAAATTTGAAGGCCGAACATTAGTCGATAAAGTTAGTTATCAAACTCCAACATGTATATTACTGAGCGTGTGATTAATGAACTTTCAAATCTGACACAGAGAGACCATTGATATAACATTTTTGAAAGTTCAAAAGGCATTGATACAATTTTTAAAGTTCAGGGTGAATTCACACAAATTTCGAGGAGTTTTGAAAACTCGTTTTAAAGTGAGAGATATCGGTTACTTTTTTTAATTATTAAAATACAGAGTAATAAATAAAACAATTAATCACGATCTAGCTTATCTTATTTTTACATTTATATGCAGTTCAACCATTCTGGGATGGGTGTTCATGATATCTGTAGGCTTCAATGCAGCTGCAAGGTTAGTGTCATTTTACTGTTTTTTTGTGATTGTCATTTTACTAGTGAGCATTATCTTGGATTGACATTTTCCAATATCCCACAAAATTAAAGGACTCTATTTTTCCTTGTTAGATGCTCTTTTTTTTATATTCCTTTTTAAATATGTGCAGAGTACAAAGTACAATGAAATTCGAATTAAGAGATCTCTATGGATTGGAGCCAACATTTAGTATTAAAATATAAATATTCAGTCCGTCCCACAAAATTTTTGAAACACTTTTTTATCTATTCCAAAATAATTTAAAAATAACATACTCCGGATATGACCCAAATTTCTTTTCTCTTCAATCTTGTTAAAATTTTAACTACTTATTTTATACTGAATACTATTTAATATTCCCTCCGTCCCAGAAAACTTTTTTCCTTTCTTTTTTCTTCCGTCCCAAAAAACACTTCTTATTTCTATTAAAAAGTCACTTTTACACCTTACTTTTTCATACCCTAACTATCACATTATACCTTTTTACTAATAATCTATCCATCAAATCATACTTTTACCATCACATCAAAGGACATTTTTGGAAATTCAATACCAAAATACACTCTTATTAAATCCCTCTACAAAACCAAAACTACCATGTTTTCCGGGGACGGAGGGAGTTTTAAAAGAAATCACCTAAATAGAAGTGAAATATTGTACGGAGTATCTATTTTCAAAATAAGAGTTTGTATTGAACTTTTTAGAGTGATTTAAACGACATAATTTAATTTGATTCTAATTAAAAATAAAATTATTTTTGGTGTGATGATGTAATTTAAATTTTTCTGATGTGATGTGATTGGGTGAAGTGTGAGAGTGAGCAATGAGCTAGGGGCAGGGCATCCCAAATCGGCCTCATTCTCCGTGCTAGTGGTGACGCTGAGCTCTTTCCTGATTGCGGCGGCGTGCGGGGTTCTGGTGGTGGTCCTCCGCCACCGGCTCAGCTTCGTCTTCACCGGCGGCCAGAGGATCGCCGACGCCGTCTCGGACCTATCCCCTCTCTTGGCCGTCTCCATTGTTCTCAACGGCATTCAGCCCGTGCTTTCCGGGGTGGCGGTTGGGTGTGGGTGGCAGGCATTTGTGGCCTACGTTAACGTGGGGTGCTACTATGTTGTCGGCATCCCTGTCGGTGCTCTTCTTGGTTTCAAATTCCAATATGGTGCTAAGGTAATTAATTCTCCCCATTTCATATCTTAAAATCTCAAAGGCTCTCTCTATATATGTCAATGATAGTCTATTGCCAAACCCTCAACGTACAACATGGTGGATTGGTTGGATGATGTTAATCCATGCCACCCATTTTAGATCTTAAATCTTATGGGTATAGGTCCAAGATAATCCCTCCCTCCCAGAAAATTTTTCCAGTTTTGAATTTTGAGTGGGGAAGATATAGAAGGTTTGACAAATGCGAAACAACGACAATTGAAACCAGCTGGGCCCGAAAAATATCAAAATGGGTAGAGCGTGGAAGGTAATTGAAGTAGGTTCGGTTAGATTTATGAAAAATAAGGGCAATTGTGTCTATTCAGGTGAAATTGAAATGTTTTATGGGACGAGTAATAAGTGAAAGTTGAAATATTTTAAGAGAAGGAGGGAGTATATTTTACGAAGTACGAGCGTAGCTAGTAAATTTTAAAAGCGGCATTTCACAATGTCAAGCTCTTGTTTAATTAGAATATTACTCCATCCGTTCCACAAAACCCTTCCTCTTTTGTTTTTCTGCTTTCTACAAAATACTTCCATTTTTACCCCTATTTTTTCATACCCTACCTATCACATCATACTTTTTTACTAATAACCAAAATATCACATCTTACTTTTTTCCCATCACATCAGGGGCATAATTGGAAAGTCAACCAATGTTACACTTTCCTTTTTTTCTCCAAAGTCAAAACTGGAAGAGTTTTGTGGAACGGAGGGAGTATATGATAAAAAACATCTTATTTATGTTGATGTCTTATTTATTCAACAATTTAATTTGTAGGGAATTTGGCTTGGAATGCTTGGAGGAACAGCCATGCAAACCCTAATCTTGTTGTGGGTCACTTTTCGCACCGATTGGGATAAAGAGGTACAGTTAATCGATTATTAATGAATTGAACTAAATTCAAGTCATCGTTAATTAAATTTACTTTTATATACGGAGTAAGCTATTGGAGCTCTTTTCAATAATGTCTATGTGTAATTAATTGTCTGAATATTATGAAACAAACTTGAGAGTATTATTTTAATTTGGGCAAGGTCTCCTTACACTAGTATTTAGTATCAACGGATCGGATAATGCTTACTAATTTAAAGTTTTTTCTGATTTTCAATTTAGAAAATTGATGGTTCAAAGTCCCTAATTCTCTCCCTAAATCCCTCATCCTGACCCTCCCACCCTAGACCCCCATCTTACCCCTCCAAATGTGTACTACTATACATAATATAGCTATATATTTGGTTGAGGTAATTAAGAGGGGGGTCTTGGGTTGCGAAGCAGGGATCGGGTCGGAGTGGATTGGAGGGTGTGGTAGGGGATTTAGGAAGGATGTTAGGAAGAGTGGGAACCATTAATTTTTTATTTGAAGCACCGAAGAACTTCAAATGATTGAGCGTCATCCGTTGATACTAGATGCTAGTCTCAACTGAACCTTGTCATTTTAACTTAGTTTGTTTGATTAAATTATTTTGAAATACACATTTTTTTCTTTATGTGTAAAACAATATTCTATTGAAATTTTGTGTTATTTTGTATTTATGCCCATCAGGTTGAAGCAGCTCAAAGCCGGTTGAAAAAGTGGCAACGTAATGGGGAAATTGCTGATGAATAATTGAGACAAAAACTTCTGCGATTTCTAGTATATGGTTTGCCAGTTTGGTAAAAAAAGAAATGTCTTCCATCCCTTTGCGTTTGATTTTTTTCGTTCAGATTACGGTATATAGTTGAGTTTATGTGTAATTTAATTTATTTAAATATTACTCCCTTGATATTTGTTTGAGTTTATATTTAATTTATTTTATTTGAATGTTGCTCTCTCAGTAGTCCCTCTCGTGGATTTTAATATATCAGGATAACAAATCATATATAACCAAATCTAATAATAATATCCTGATATAAAAAAATCTAATAACAATAAAAAATAACAATATAATAAATAATCGCGCCAGTTTTTATGGCCACTCATTTTGAGTGACCACATATGACAATGTACGAAAACTCCCAATTGAGACCCCTATGATATATCTCTTTGTAAAATTGATTATTCATTAATTCATATCTCAACTAACCTTTAGAAAACCTCTTCCACCTAGTTTTGACCCCAACACATCCCATTACCAAGCGTGAGATACAAGTTTAATTAACTTTAGAAACAAAATTATTGACCCCAAAGTTAACTAAGTTTGCACCTACAATTGATGTTGGAGGGGAGACGAGTTGAAACGGGACTGGGGGTGGGGGGTTTACTGCAGGGGGAGGGGGGTGGGGGGCTGTAGGAGTAATGTCCTCCGTGGCAACTCAAAATAAGTGGCATAAAACTTGTCCGATAAATGATATAGACATCAGAGTATCAGTATGAAAATGAAATTGGAAAAAGACGGTCTTTATTTCTTATAGTACGTCTCAAATGGAGAATTTATTTCTTATATATCATGGATGTATCGATGACATACGTTCCTTCCGTTTTTAAAAATGCTTGGTCTTTCATTTTTTACTTTTTTTACTAAGCCACTTCTACTTTTGAATAAAATAAGTAATATATTCCAATAAAGTCATTGTATACTTTATCTGTTTTGCAAGTATTGATTTATCTTTCTTTTTACTCTTTGACACTAAGTGTAAAATTAAAAAGTCAAATTAAAAAAATAAATCTGCTACAAGTTAAAACAAGAATTATTTTAAATTAGAAAGAGTACAATATATGTTTGGTAGCCATTTATGGAACTTGAAACTCAATAAAAGAAACAATAATGCTTCTTGTACACTTCATTTGTATACATTGTGTACCCAAAAATGTTGCAGTTGTATAAAATGGTAGTGCAAAACTAACATTACGCCAGTATTGCATTTAATTTGTATTTTGTACCTCTGCAAAGCTTTGAAGTACAAAATGATATACAATTGTAGTGTACACATGTCATGATCTTAAACGAAAATCATGTTTTTTATGCCTGATTTGATTGGAATAAATTTTGATTCGATTTGATCTGATCTAGATATACATATATTTAAAGATGTTTTTGATCTGATTTAATCAGATTACATTGAGGAAAAAAATATAAATAATTAAAATAAATTGAAAAAAACATGAGCAAAATGAATATAGAAGGTGTGTAGAGGGAGTGTGGCTGGATGGATCTAGAGATTCTCTTTCTTCTTGTTTCAAAAGTATGGACTGTGGAGTGAGCCCAACTCAATTCTTCTCAAGAATAGTATTAGGCCTGTCAACAAATGAGGCCCAGTTCAATTCTTTCTGCAATTACAATACCATAGAAAACATCCAATTATCTATCCCCCCACAAATCATGTATGGAATTTCATTTTCTACGATCGATCTTGAATGAAAAAAGAAAGAAAACCCCATTTAGGACGCATAGAAAATCGTAACCCTCAGCCTCCCTTCTCCCTCGCAAGAAAATGCTTAGGTCTACAGCTCTCCACATCTTCCGGCGCCGTATCTCTGCATCGCCGCCGCCGCCGCCTCGCATTGGCTCTTTCCTCGCCGCCGCTTTCCGAGATAGCCGGCCGTTTTATTTGCCTTCTTCATTTTTCAGGTCATTTTGTTCCGGATCTGGTGTTGCTACCGCCGCCGGCGACGAAGCAACGGCGCGGCTTATCTCTGCCGAGCTTCTCCGAGATCGGAAGGTAAAGAGTCTTCCTGTTCCGAAAAGATTGGATCTTTCCTTCTCACACATCACTCTATCACGTCCATTGATCCTCTCCACTCTCAATCTCTGCCCTGATGCTGGCCGGGCAGTTCTTGGGTTTATCGATTGGATCAAATCAAAACCCAATTTTGAGGTAGACGACGAGGTTTACTCTTACTTCGTGGATTATTTGGGTAGGAAGAAGGATTTCAAGGCTTCCCATGATGTGCTTATCTCCGGCCGTGGGGTTGTTGGCACTAAAACCCTAGAATCCATGGTTGATAGACTGGTTCGGGCCGGGAGGCCCACACAAACAGTGGCTTTCTTTGAGAAAATGGAGAAAGAATACGCGTTTGTCAGGAACTTGGAATCCCTGAAATTGATAGTGACAAAGCTCTGTGAACATGGCTTTGCTAGTTATGCTGAGAAAATGGTGAAAAGTTTAGCTGATGAGTTCTTCCCTGATCAATATGTTTGTGACATGCTAATTAAAGGGTGGTGTGTTGATGAAAAGCTTGACGAGGCCCATAGATTAGCTGGGGAGATGTATAGGGGAGGATTTGAGATTGGGACATCTGGCTATAATGCGATTCTTGATTGCGTTTGTAAGCTTTGTAGGAAAAAAGACCCTTTTCGGCTTGATTCTGAGGTGGATAAGTTGCTGCTGGAAATGGAAGAGAAGGGCGTTCCGCGAGACGTGGAAACCTTCAATGTGTTGATTTCTAATTTGTGTAAGATCAGACAAACTCAAGCTGCGATGGATTTGTTCTATAAGATGGGTGAATGGGGATGCTTTCCAAATGAGGCGACATTTCTCACACTCATTAGGAGCTTGTTTCAAGCTGCGAGAGTTGGAGAGGGGGACGAAATGATAGATAGGATGAAGTCTGCAGGATATGGAGATGCACTTGGCAAGAAAGAATACTATGGGTTTCTGAAAATACTATGCGGCATTGAGAGGATTGATCATGCCATGGCATTTTTTGATCAGATGAAACGCGACGGTTGCAAACCGGGGATCAAGACCTACGAGTTACTTGTGGGAAGGTTGGTTGCCCATGGCCGCATGGAGAGGGCAAATACCCTTTCAAAAGAAGCGTCGAACAATGGGTTTTTAGTTGAGCCAAAGGCATATAATGTGGACCCTAGGTTCGCGAAGAAGAAACCTGATGCTGTGAAGAAGGAGAAGAAAAGGGAGACTTTGCCTGAGAAAATGGCAAGGAAGAGGAGAACTCTTAAGAAAATCCGGCTTAGTTATGTGAAGAAGCCCAAAGGACTTCGTCGCGCCATTTGATCATTTTGCCCCAAAACATTGGGGTTACCCTATTAAGGTTCTATTTCTATTGGTTTACTCCATCAGAAGAAAAAAAGGATTTTTGGTTTATGCAGGGTATTTTGTTAGGTAAGAAGGAGAAATGCATGTTTGTGACTTTTAAAAATGCAAAGCAAGTGAATGGTATCGAGGTATGCCTAAAAACATCTTGTTTGCAGTATTTGATTGTTGAGTTCATCTTGATTTCACTTATATTGACATATAATAGTAAGTTTTTTTTACTAACACATTTGACTGATTTACTGAATTGGATGCAACCAAACACTTCATTCCTTTTTAAAAATTGGTATTATGTGTCAAATGGCACTTACCAAACAAACCCTTGAGCATTTGCATTGGGTGATCTTGAACACTATGTTTGGTTCAAGGAATTGGGAATGAAAGGAAAAGAAAAATGTTCTCTTCCCAGTGATAAAATTCTCGCCCTACTGAAATTATAGCTCAATTTAACTCCTCTTATCCTAGTGTCCGGGCATGTACTGGGGAGGGGGGGGGGGCTGGGGGACTCGTGGTGGGTTTGTAGCACGGCCCTTTGTCCAATTGAACGCTATGAAATTAAATTATGTGACCAATTAACTAGATTGAAAATACACCAAGTCACAATCTTACAGATTACTCCAAACAACAACCAAAGCAAAATTCAAAGCTATTCTTTTCTAAGTTTATAATTACCGAAAGATTTTAACTTGCCCCTGAATGTGATGGACTGATGGTGGGTAACAATTATAATAATTAACAACAACAATAATAATTAACTTGCCCCTAAATTCTAAGCTATTCTTTTCTAAGTTAATAATTACCAAAAGATTTTAACTTGCCCCTGAATGTAGTCTATGCAACTGTCAATTGTCAACCTTCTCTTCTGTATGTAACCTCTTTTTTGTTGTTTAGGTTTATCCATACCAGATTCACCCAGTCGGGGGTTCTTTTTAACCATTTATAACTCTCCCTAAGGTTATAATGGCCCATAAACTCTAATATTAAGATCTTTTTCATTTTATACAATATAAAGCTATTGATATTTCTAAAAAATAATGCTCATGGTAGTAATAAATACTCCGTATATTACAACGATAATACTTAAAGAATATTAAAAAAATTTCAACATGAAGTACTATATACTCCGTATATGGTAAGATAAAGTAGAACAATACAATGGAAGTTTTATTTGACATAGTTCGTAGATAGCTTTGAAGGTTCGGTCTGTAATAATAAGTTTTAATGCATTCTCGTCCCGTTTGATAACGGTTCAGGATGAAAAAATTCAATCTCATTTAAAAATACTATAAACGGTTTGTTATCATTATGGTCCAGTATGATACCATGTTACTAAGATCTATAAGATTTTGTATAGGCCTTAAGATGATAGTGATAAGCAAATATTCATTATCCTAATACTTTTTTTAGTAAACTCCATAATTAATCCTTTATAACAAGGGATTTCCGTATTTAGTTCTCTATTATCAAATATTATCCTTGTGGTCTTTCTTTTATGAGTGCCTTTTCATAAAGTCTTTTTTATCGTTTGCTATGTTGGTTTTAGTTTAAAACTTAAAATATAATTTGGCATCAACCTTATGTCCAGTGACGTGGGCTAGAATTCTGACGAAAAACTACATCTGTAGGTTATTGTGGTAGTAGAAAGCGACTCTAATTCAACAAAAACGCATTAGGAGCGGCCTGTGGAATTGTGTATCACAAGAAAAATATATTATCATTGTGAAATTATACTTTTAACCTCAAATTAACATCAACATGATAGAAGATAAAAAAAGATTATTTGTAGAAAGATACTTATAACAGAAGAACCATCAGAATAATATTTAATAATAGAGGACTAAATAAGCAAACTTTCTACGTAGTAATAAAAAAGACCAATTATGAAATTTCATTTATTTTTTTGGCAACTCACCATTTTATGTAGTTTATCACACAAGCCTAAAAAATGGATAGGCCCAGCTTAAAATTGTCCCTTTAACAAAGAAATAAATTTCAACTTAAGAAGTCAACTACTTCACTTTTAAAATTTTTGCTCCTTCCAAATTAATTTGAACTTTTCAAATAATATGTAAAATCTTATCTTTTTGAAAATAATTTTATCTATGAATTTGTATTGAAAAATAAAAATTAAAAAGATTAATTTACATATTTAAAAAATACGTATTTAAAGAAATCTATAGAATAACATGTGACTATAATATTTTATATTATCAAATGATTGATGAAAACACGAGTAAATAAAAGTTATTGAGAAGTTCATATAGTAAAAATGTACTACGGATATATTATTTTGAGAAGGAGGAAGTAATATGTTTTGGTTAAATAATCATAAAATAATGGAGTACCAAAGTAATAAGTTGAAAGTATAAGCAAATGGAGTAATTATTATCTGTTATTCTAAAGACAAAATAAATGTACTCCCTCCATCATTTATTAAGTACTCTCTTCATCTCAATTTATATTACCTATTTCGATTTATGATGTTTGACTAATTTTTTTTTTAAATTATTTTATATGAAAAATAATGTATACTTATTAAAAATAAAATTGCATATTAAAATATTACATCAAAAGATCTGCAAAGCTAGTGGTGACATGATTATTTTATTTTATTTAATGACTACCAAAAAGATAAAGAGAATAAACAAAGCTTGGTCATGTTAATAGCAAACAAACAATTTAATTTTAGATTTTTAGATGGAGAGACTATTTATTATGACTTTCATAAAATATTAGTGGGTATAAAAAAGAATGATGTAGTTTTATATCTACATTCATTTATTTTTTAATTTATCATGAAAGTTATAATAGACGATTAATAAGTAATGGAGGGAGTATAACTTATCACCTTCTTTTGACAGATTTTTAGAAAAAGTTCTGAAAATTGCGGAGTAAAACACACTTTGTTTGAAGTTTGCTATTTTTTGAACCATATAGAATGCGTGTCATTATTACCTAGAATTGAAGAATTATATTTTTTTGATGATGTGAATAATATTTTAGAATTACCAAAATCTCACCTAACATGTGGCACTCTTATAGAGAGTATTCCCTTCATCTCAATATGTTTGTTTAATTAAACTTTTTAAATCAATATTACAATCATGAATTAAATAAATATTGCAGTGTATATTACATAGTAATAAAATAAATTACTAGTAATTTTTTGAAAATATCTTACAAGACAAATGTAATTAAATTTTCTTGTACTTATATATAAAGCAATATTTACTTAATTAATTATAAAAAATTTGTCCAAATTTTACTGCAAAAAATCAAATTGGATAAACCCAGCCGGACGGATCGGAGTTACTTTGTAGAATTTCCTCTGTCCCAATTTAAACTATTCGTTTCAGTTCACGATGATTGATTAAAATTATTTTGAATTCAAATTATACGAGAGTATTAATTTATCATTTTGAGACCGTCATTTTGAGACTCTTACAAATTGAGTGTTTGATTAACGTACTCCCAAATCATTTTGAAATATTACCGGAGTAATATTTTTAAAATTTGACATTGTAAAAAAATGAATAAACAATTTAGTTTAAGAATCTCTCAAGCATGACAAGTTAGTGGTAGTCCCGTTCACGTTATTGGTAGGTAGCCGTCCAGTCCAGTCCACCAATGTTGTTGGTCTTCACCATTTTTAGGCTCCCAACATCATAGTTCACAATCATTGAGGCCACATAAGTTAAAAATACTTTCTTTACATAAAAAAAGAGAGTTAAATAATACTCGACACAAAAAATACTAATATTGATCATTTTAGTCTGACTTTACTCCGTATTAAGTTTAATAAAATTGTGAAAAGGTAAAAAACTGATCGAAATTAGAATTTAGTTTTTTAAGAAATAATGGAACATAAATTTTTCACTTTATTAGGTAAGTAAAGATATAAAATAATTACTTCGAGACAGACTAAAAAATGAGACAGTTAATTTAGGGCAGGAGTATAAATTATGTGGATGAAGAGTTAATTTAGGAGAGGAGTAGACATAGAATATGTGTTATGGAGAGTTTGACCACTAACTCACGGAATGAATTTGTTGATTATTTTGATCGGTTAAGACCTAAGTGTAGAATCTAGTTTCTATTCATTCGGAAATGATCTTTTCATTTGATTTTTATCGTATCTAATATAGAATTTTGATTATTGATATCTATTTCTACACATGGAAATATTATATGAAAAACTAATATTTGAAAATTACGTTTCATAAGAAAATTATTGATATTAGATTTGCATCGAAATATAATATTTTTTAATATATATCAAGGTCAAATTTTACAAACTTCGATCAAGAAAAATTAAATAAGAAGATTTTTTTCGGAAAGATGGATTAACTGAATTGAGTCTAAAATATGAATATTATTCTGATTTCATATCCAATGAATACTACCGAGTAAAATCTAAAGACTAGCTTGAATTGGACGCTGAAGTATGAATTATGGATAACTAATTAAAATAGAAAGGTCAAACGTCCAAAAGAAATAATTCGGCCTTCTCATTGTGAGAACGCCGCGATAATGCATTGACCTTTTGGTGCACTAATTTTGGAAACTTTTGTTGGACTTTTTGGCCTTTTTGGCTTTTGCCACATTTACTCCATTTTTATATCGGATTCCTTCTAAAAAAATGACTGATTTTATGTATTTTATGATTAGTTCATTACAGATTCCTTCAATTTCTAATGTACTACGGAGTAAGTATTAATAGATAAATAATATCAAAATGGAGGGAGTGAAATTTGTTCTGCATTTCAATATTCAGATTAGAGTATTGAATTATCATACGATAGCTCTAGAACAATAACAACGGTCTAGTTATTTAACTTTCTGTTTGACTTTGCGTTTCAAACATTTGATTAATTGTGTTATACCAAATTATTACTATCTAAAAAGATTTTAAATCTATTATTTTTAATACTTTTTTGCATATATATTTTAAGAGATACTACCTCCGTCCCGCTATATTCGTCCAGTTTTGACTTTTGGAACTGTTCATCTAAGCACTTTGACTCATCAAATTCTCTCAATGTGTAAGCCTAAATATAGTCATGTGTGATCTTGTTTGATTTATCTTAACATATAGATTATTAATATATAATTTCTATAATTTTTTAATATACAAATTACAAGATAAAATGGATTAAAGAAGTGCATTGGATGGTATGCAAAAATGAAAGTGGACAAATATAGTGGGACGGAGGGAGTATTATTGATCAAATTTTAAGTTCGAAAAGCGAACCAGACAATTATAAATGAAGGAATGAAGTAACACATTAACTTCACCTTTGACATCATTTCATATTTTTCATAGACATTCATAGATACAAACATGTAACAAATTTGAGTGGGATAAAATATTTCTAAAGAGAAAATTTCAAAATTAGATTAAAAACTAAAATATATATCCATCAATACGATTTTTTTAAAGACCATATAACATGATTATTAATTGAGTGTTTATGGAGTACTAACATTTATGTTCATGAGAGTCACAACTATAATCATATTTAAATTATTATATAGAATTGACTGAATTATTGTTTGGGTTGTGACAGAGGGGTGGGGGTTGTGGGCATGAACCTATACCTACAGGGATAAGGCAACGTGTGAACGGCTAAGGTTAGGTGTGACGCCCTAATTACAATTCACTCTCTCTTTTCTTTTCCCTCTAAATAAATTTCATAATCACTATTTATATACTCATGCTTTATTTTTTGTGCATTCTATAAAATACTTTTATCACGCCTCAGATATTCAAGAAGATTCAAAACAATTTCTACTTACAATAAAGAAGAAATGTGAAAAATTTTAGGCATTTTAGATGTGGGTAGAAGTGTTTTACGGGATGTGCAAAAAATGAAACAAGAACATTTTTTCGGGATGGATAGAATATATGGTTTCCATGTGTACCCAAAGGAGATCTTTCAATCTAATTATTATTGTGTACTTTCACAAAATGTATTCAAAGTAAGAACACAATCTGAAAAAATGAAGCCGACATTATTTAAGACATGAAAAATTTATATTATTAGACAATTTATGTTTTACAAAATTGATTAAATGTTTATCATGAATTTAACTTACTAAATAATGCTTTACAAAATTTAAAAGTTGAGTAAAATTAAATTCAGTCTATATTTTTTATTTTTAGAATACAAATATATAGTTACGAACTTAGATTTTTTTGAATTTAGATCATATAAATAAAATCAAATTTGTATTTTTAAACATGGACAAATATTTAATCTTAAGGACTAAATACAAAAAATTGACCACATTTTCAAAATATAAACAAATAGAGAAAAATGTTGTTGTCTACTATTTGCTAGTGCAGATGCAATGTTGGACTTTCAGTCGGACAAAGTCGAAGAGACTGGTAGAGTGTGGGTGACATTTTATTAACAAAAGATATTGGAGGATGACTTGAACTACGATCCGACTTTTAATACTTGTATATCAATTGAGTCGCCAAATTTTAAAGATTTGTATTTTTGCAGAAAGACAACCAATTTATTTGATCTCATCTGAATTTGACCCTAATGATTTTGCAATATAATACGTATAAAATTCATAAATTCGTTTGGGGTCAAAAATACGTGTATTATACGTTCGTCCCATTAAAAATTCGTATTCGGGAGTATAATACGTGTATCATACGTACAGGTGTATAATACGCGTATTATACGCGAATAAGCTAACAGAGCTCAAATCTCGTCATTTTTTTGGGCCTCAAGCTACATCGTACAAAGTATATTGAAACAGAGACAAAAACCCCTTGTTCCAAAACAAAATAAATTCATGAACTAAAAAAATTACTCCGTATTTTTTAAAAAAATAATTACTCCGTTTATTTATTTATTTCACTTGAACTGTATGTAGTAGCCTCTCCCTCTCCTCCTCCTACTCTTCCCCGGAGCAACCGCCTCAGAGTTTTCAAGTGGAGAAAAACTTGCTTGTAACCGGCGGCGGAGATGGTGTTTCTCAGCCGCATGATCAGCCGGTTCCCAATCTTGATCTTGACCCTGCAGCAGCTGAAACCCCGGAGTTTGATGAGCCAAATGGACGGCGGCGGCGGCGGCTGAGATGATCTCCTCCTCCTCCGTTGATGAGTCAGGGAGTCAACCTTATTCATTGACTTGTAAATCAAGAACTGCGCTTTTCTGTGCCTCATCTCCTCCTCGTCTTCCACTTCCATCTTTGAGTATCCATTATTATTGTAGAAGGTTTTTGTACTGCTAAGATACAAACAATTCATATTATTTGTTTCTCTAAAATATTGTAAGGAAGAAAAGATGTGATGATGAGCTGAAGAAGATGAGAGAGAGAGAGAGAGACGAGAGACTATTGATCGATCTGAATTGAAGGAGATTGGGAGTAACATATTTATAGGGAGAGAATTCTCAAGGCCGGGATGAGGTGTGGGGTACGTAGTGCAAAAAGCTCCCGAGTATGAATTTGTGCCCAAATTTATTACTCTTCTATTCCACAACTAATTCTAATGCCTACTATTTTCAAAACCAAGTTAACTTTTTTATTACTCGGTATTATGCATTTTCATTGTTTATTTGATAAATATTTACTCTCTCCGTCCCACTATATTCGTCCACTTTTGACTTTTGGAATTGTTCATCTAAGCACTTTGACTCATCAAATTCTCTCAATGTATAAGCCTAAATATAGTCATTTTTGATCTTGTTTGATTTGTCTTAACATATAGATTATTAATATATAATTTCTATATATAAATTACAAGATAAAATGGATTAAAGATGTGCATTGGATGGTGTGTAAAAATGAAAGTGGACAAATACTCTGGGACGGAGGTAGTACATATCAGTAAAATATTATCTCCGTCCCAGAGTATTTGTCAACTTTCATTTTTACACACCATCCAATACACTTCTTTAATCAATTTTATCTTGTAATTTATATATTTAAAAATTATAGAAATTATATATTAATGATCTATGTGTTAAGACAAATCAAACAAGATCACACATGACTATATCTAGACTTACACATTGAGAAAATTTGATGAGTCAAAGTGCTTTGATGAACAGTTCCAAAAGTCAAAAGTGGACAAATACTTCGAGACGGATGTAGTATTTTGAAATAAAAATAGTGAAAGTTGTCCCATATATTTCAGCATTATTAAATTTTAATATTATTGAACTTTTCTATAAAAAACCCAACACAGTAACCCACCATAGGGTCTCTTGATACCGGCCCAATTATAGTGAGAAGCGGTAGATGAAATTGCAATCCCAGTCTAATTGAGAAAAACTAAGTCTCCTAATATTGGCCCAATTAATGGGATATGATAGTGGGCCTATGTGGACTGAGGGGCCGTCACAGTAAGTTTAAATAAAGTGATTAATCGATTATACATACAATTACTGTTGCCATTATTTTCGGGTGGATTAAAATCCACCAGTAATACTCCATGATTTTGAAGAATAAGTATTTATAAGGGAACCCTCCGTCCAAATTTAAATTGTCTATTTTGATTTACGATGTTTAACTAAAATTATTTTAAAATTATTATATATGAAAAACGGTGAGAATTTAAAAAATAAAAATAATATATTTTAAAATTATATCAAATGATCTACAAAACCAATGATGACATGAGTATATTATTTTATCAAATGACTAACAAAAATAAGAAAAAAAATTGAATAAAGTGTGATCCTGTAATTAGTAAACAAACAATTAAATTTGAGACTGAAGGAGTACTAACTATTTCACAAACTTATGCGTACTCTCTTTGTCCTAAAATTGAAGTGACAATTATTATATATAAAATATAAAATTTTATTAAAAAAAATATTTTCATTCATAATTTGACCAAATAATATAGAACCAAACGGTAACATGGCAATTTTATACAAAATTTCATGTAATTTTAAAATTAAAATTTAAAAAATGAATTAAAACTAATTTCAATGAATTGTTATAAATCTAATTAAAGTGATTTTGATTTAAGTGGGAGGAAGCAATACGGTGGGCATATATGATACCGCCGATCATTAATAAGGACAAAAGCTCGCGTTGGACTTTTTGGTTTTACTTACAAATCCAAACATTATCAAAAAGCTCTTCATTATATAAAAAGAAAATGTTGCTCTAAAAAAGTTTTTTTTCTTTTATAGGTTACTTGCTATTATATTATACTTCCTCCGTCCTAAAAAGTTTGTTACGTTTAGAAAAAACTGCGTCCCGTAAAGTCCGTTACATTTCTATTAAAAAACCACTTTTACCCCTTACTTTTTTATACCCTACCTATCAAATCATACCTTTTTCCTAATAATCTACACATCACATCCTACTTTTACCCATCACATCAAGGGTATTTTTGGAAAGTCAATACCAAAATATCCCTTTTTTAATTTCCCAAAAAGTCAAACCATCTCATTCTTTTTGGGACGGAGGAAGTATTATACTCCTTATCTTCTTGTAAATTTTGACCCATCTTAGTTCTTACATATGGCATATATTACTTCGTATTATATTATGAGTGTGGGTGGGTATTGTGCACTTGATTACTTGCTTGACTTGTTTAATACGGACTATGGATTAATCATTTTGCTAATTAATCATTTTGCTAATGGACTGTACCATATCCTTTCGTCTCTGAAAATCTTTCTTTGTTCTTCTTTCATTCGTTCCAAAAAATATTTCATATTTCTATTAAAAAATCACTTTTACTTCTTACTTTTTTCATACCATGTCTATCACATCTTTTACTATACCTATCAAATCAAATCTTACTTTTACTCATCACATCAAAGAAATTTTTTAAAAATTCAATAGCAAAATACGCTTCTCTTAAATCTCTTAAAAATCAATAACTCTAATGTTTTTAGAACCGGAGAAAGTACTTGTTACAATGTTTCAAAAATAAAAGATAACAACACGTCAACACATTATTTAGTGCTATATACGGAGTATGTGCTTATTTCTTCTCTTTTTAATTTAGACACGAAAATGCATAAAAGAGATAGGGCTTGACAATACATCATGATTTATTTATCATTTTAATATATAGTGTGTGATTTTGGATTATATATAATATAGTTGATATATTGTTTTTAATTATCATGCCATGCATGCAACACACAAGTGAAAAATCTAGCTAGTTACTTTGGCGGCTTAATTGGCCAACAGCAGCAATAACCAAACATATAATTATAACTGTCCATGTAGGATGTACAGATCCCGCGGAAACCCTCCTTGCATGGGTAGTTAGCACATTGATCATTTGTGTCGCATTTTACACCAGTGCAAAGAGGTGGATTTGGACCCAGAAGATTCTGCAGACTCGAACTTACTACAACATACAAAAACAAAAATAATGGATGTATTAAAATTTACGTGGGCCGAGAACAAAGAGTAGATCGAATATTAGGTAAAATTAACCATTTGCATATAAAGTCGGAATCCACTAATATAAAGTCGGAATCCACTAATCTAATCCAAAGGTTTCACCTTTCTTTATATGCTACTGGTATTTTTCTTTATTTTCCTGGAAACTCCATCAAGATGTTATAAAATTTGATATATACTCCGTAACAAAATTACTCCCTCCGGTCCTAAAAACAAGAGATGTTTCTTTTTTCAACCGTTCCAAAAAACACTTCTTATTTTCATTAAAAAGTCAATTTTACTCCTTACTTTTTCATACCCTACTTATCACATCATACCTTTTTACTAATAACGTATCCATTAAATCTACTTTTTCTCATCACATCAAAGACTATTGTTGGAAATTGTTGGAAATTAAATACCAAAATATACACTCTTTATATCTCTTCAAAATCAAACAATCTCATGTTCTTAGAACCGGAGGGAGTACATTTTGTGGTCAAAGCTAAGTAAACAAAAACAAGTCATCAAATATGACGCTTATTTTTACAAGGAGTTATACAATGCGCCTTGGAAAATCACTAATAAAAAATTTAGGGATGACTTGGCATAATGGCATAGACATGTACTCCCTCCGCCCCAAAAAGAATGGGACGGTTTGACTTTTTGGGAAATTAAGGGAGAGATATTTTGGTATTGACTTTCCAAAAATACCCTTGATATGATGAGTAAAAGTAGGATGTGATGAGTAGATTATTAAGAAAAAAGTATGATGTAATATGTAGGGTATGAAAAAGTAAGGGGTAAAAGTGGTTTTTTAATAGAAATGTAACGGACTTTACGGGACACAGTTTTTTCTAAACGTAACAAACTTTATAATCATGACAATCAAATTTGGTGTACCTCTGAAAAAAATTCTCATTAGTATAAAAATTTGGTGGACTATAAGATCTTTGAGCATCTTTCCAGGTTTGACATTTATGTAATTAAAATTGATATTTTGACCGCTAATTAAATAAAATTCATATTAGATATTGATATAAAAATAACTTTATAATATATAATTTATATAATGCTTTTAGAATATTTTTTATCAAATTAAAATACTATAAAATATTTATTTAATTTAAGGTCAAAATTTTTAAAATAATAGACTCGAAAAAGATAAAATCATACAAATACTTAGGGATGAAAATAGTAGATGTCAATGTAATGTGCATACCAGATGAGAGACCAACCAGAATTGTTAGAACAAATAGGATGCTGGTAAAAGCCTGAGGGTTAGCGCCAAAACCACGACGAAATAAACCACCCATTATGTTCTTTTCTCAAGTCTTTGATTATATTGTATCTTAATTCACCTAATAATAATAATACTGGTAAATTCCGATTAATATATGTGAGTACTGTGTTATACGGAGTATATTTATAAGAAATATGTGTGTGTGCCAATTTGCTTACAAATTAAATTTGCTGAGATTCATTGAATTTTGCAAATGCTCCATAAACTAGGGGTACTGATTTTTATGGCTAAATCTTTATGTTTTTTCCACTTTTAGTATATATTATCAATAGTAGGTTAAGAATATCTAAGTGGGATTGATTTTTTATCTTTTTTTTATGAGAAATTTACCTAAATAGGACTATAACATAATGACTTTTCCAATATAGGATCATATGTTTTTATTTTCCAATGTAGGACCTTTGGTCATTACCAAGTAGTCATTATTCAACTAAATGTCCATCATTATTAGACATTATTCCTCTCACTAGGTCATTACTAAGTCCTATTTAGAGAATAAAAAAGTTTAAGTCCTACATTAGAAAACTCATTATGTTTTAGTCTTATTTAGTGCTAATTTCACTTTTTCTATATATATATGTTGTTTGTTAAATACTCTGTATTTTTGCAAAACAAGAATGTGGAAGACTAATAGATAATTAAAAAGTAGATGAAAGTAAGGATGACAACCCAATCCGAATCCAACTTTATTTGATCCGAATGAATCATAAAGTTATTTGAACCTGACCCGTTAAAATAAGACATGCACTCGAACTAAATTGGGTTGGGTTTAGATCTCTAAATTTATAACCCGACCCTCAATACGTCCATAATAATTTTCTTTATTAATAAAGGAGTTCAAAATAATGAGAAAAAACTAAGTAAAATTGTCATTAGTGCAAGTTGTTAGTACTATTAAAATATGGTAAATTGAATAAATTCTTGTGTAGTCTCAAGATTCATATTTGTTTTATGGTCCTTATTTCATTGAGATTGTAAAAAATTGGGTCTATGGCAAACAAAGAAAACACGCACTTGTCAGTCCATGAAAAGTGTGAGTAGATTGATAATAAAAACATCCAAACAATTCGATCTTATGATAAAATCCAACATCGGAGTATAGAATTGAAATAGTGCGGAAGCTTATTTCATTAAGGCAAACAATTTGGGGCTCCTTCCTGAAAACATAATAATTATTCCGGAATAGTAATTAATTAAAAGCCTCCAAATAGGTTAACCAACATCTCTTCCTCCTCATTGCGTCCCAGGATCGGCTCTAGGTTTATCGTCTCCTTGATTGATTACCAACGTGCAGTGTAACAAACAAACAACACTACACTCTCAGCAATGATGCTGAGTGAGAATATCTAACGTCAAAGTAATCAAATAAGCAAATCCACAATTCATAACAATTATGTGACATCATGCAAACAACATTCATATCACACATAGGATTCAAAACATAATTTACCTGGTACTTGCCCGTTATAATTCTCAAGAAACCTGTGGATTTCTCGAGGCCGGTGGATCACCAAAGACCTGATCCGATCCTAACATGTCCTAAGCTAAGGACTACTTCTTAATTTAGGAGTCATGATTGTTCTCACGGGATCAGCGGGTCATTCTCAAATAACAAAAGAGTTTCGTTGGGTGGGTGGAATCCCCACCTGATGGATCACCAAGCAGTTGAAGGATACTCGTACGTACGTTTTTACATACCATGCTAACCATTGGACCCAACAGGCTTCACATGGCTTACTTTCTACAAAACTAATGTTAAGTCAGTCCTAGAGTTCAGTTGAAGGATATTCGTAAGTACATTTTATTTTTTCAGAGTACTTGCACTTTAAGATTATTACTGAATTTGATTTTTTAATAACCACTTTTATAACAATTGGATATTAAAACACCAATTTATATTTAATTTAAAAATAACAAATAATTAGAATAATACGGATCGGAGTATACATTTAAAAATATGGGTCTGAAAAATTTGGGGGCCGTGTACTGTGTGGGTGACTACTTTGCACACCTTTCGAGCCACCATGCCTATGATATGATACATTTCAAACAAAAACATGCTAAAAGATACTTCTCCAAAAATATAAAAGTACCCAAAAAATTACTACTTCCCTAACTTTTACTTTAGTCATGTACACACAGAGTTTATAGTAAAAGGGCACCAAGCACAAAACTCACTATGTATTCACCATTATTACCAAAAACAGAAAGCATATTATTAGTACGTGCCAATTTTACGGGAAATAGAATATTGCCTGTTATACAATATATATTGCCTTATTTATTGCATATATTTTTAAATGGGGTAGTTGGGCAGTATGCCAATTTTAATTTTTTTTATATATTGAGTATTACACTCATTGACTAACTCCCTCGAAAAAATGAAGTCTTATTTTATTTTCTTGGTCAAAGTGTATAAATTTTGGTGGTAATAATTTGGAGAGAAATGCATTCTTTTATGATATGATTAATTTGAAACTTAGTGCATCGATCAAAATTAAACTAATTGGAATTTACTTTCATTAAACATCTTAATTTAAAAAGATTAGACAGAGACAAGAGAGTATTACATTACATTACATTACAAAATATATGCAAAAATAGAAACTGAAATTAATAAAAAAAATATTTTGCTCTCCCTTATGGGTGACATGGATGCATCCGAGACTACCGTCCTTGCTTCCTTCCTTACACCTGCATACATACATAATATAGAAAATACTTAATTCAATTACGGTATAAAGTTACATTAAAGTACTCCATTTTTAAGATTAATTTGGAGATACGATGTGTTATTACTTACAATCTGATGATTTCCACCCGAGAATTAATTTTTCTCGATAAAAAACGATCCGATAACCCGTCATGAAATTGCCTAGAAATACAATTGTATATTAGCGTTATTAGCAATCAAATAATAAAACAAACTAAATTCCAAGGCATGCTACACTCAAGATGATATACTACCTCTGTCCCGTGAAACATGAGACATTTGCTTTTTAGGAGGGATTTAAGGGAGTGTATTTTGGTATTGAATTTCCAAAAATGTCCTTTGATGTGATGTGTAAAAGTATGACTTGATGGATAGATTATTAGTAAAAAGGTATGATGTGATAGTTAAGGTATGAAAAAGTAAGGGGTAAAATTGACTTTTTAATAGAAATGAGAAGTATTTTGTGGGACGGATAAAAAAAGAAAGGGGAAATGTTTCACGGGACGGAGGTAGTATATAACTTTCAGATGGATAAATAGGATGATCGATAAAAAGTACTTACGTCCGATAATGTTGAGATTATTGATATCGTTTTTGATGATACCTAGACAATAGATTTGTTCCCCCAACTATAATAATAATCAAAATAAACAATATAATTAGTGCAGGGTGTAAATATGGAAACTAATTCCCCTTTATTCCATCCCAAAGCAAAAGTCACTTTGGCCAAATATAACTATTACAGGCTAGCTAGTAATAAACAAAATGACAAAAAATTTAAAATTGTATTGTTAAAATTTATTAGAAGGCCAGAAAAAGAGCTGAGGACCATCACCTTCTTTAACTTAACAAACAATAAAGTGATCAACTTTTATATTGGGATGAAGAAATTAAAATAGGAAATTGTGTTACGTATGGATTATATATTATTATTATTATTATTATTATTATTATTATTATTATTATTTTATACACTCCGTGTCTCACGTACTCCACTAAATGGTTGGGGCTCTAGTGGTTTAGTGGGAGTGAGAACATGGAAATCAGCCCCTCCTTTTGTCCTGAAGCTTAAGGATGGAGTGTGGATTGAGGTACCATTATCGGTCCTGCAACAATGAAAAAAATTTGAAGACTTATAAATAAATAAGTAGATTGCATTTTTTTTGAAACAGTAGATTGCATTTTTTTTGAAACAGTAGATTGCATTTAATAAATAAGTAAATAGTAAATTTTTTTTTATTTCAGTTTCATGTTTCACTCACCTTGAAATATAACAGTATTCGAATGGACCCATTGGCACCGGTACTAAAGTGTCATTCACAAAAAGATTAAACTGCATATGCCATCAATTAGTATCATTTAGTGCAAATAGTTTTACATAATTATGCTAAATGAGTTAGTTTTATTAGTACGTCTTCATTTCATTCGTAATAGAGATAATTGAAGCTAATTAATGTGAGAAGGTAATTATTTAAGTGTAGCAAATTAAACTCACAGTTTTTGTGACTAAACTATATGCCTCTCCGGCCAAGTGGGTTAAAGTGGTACCCGAGTCAAAAAAGGCTACCAATGAAAGATTTACTACAACATTTTGCACAGAGATTTGCTCTATCTGTATGTTGTAATAAGGGCTGCATCAATAGTTCACAAAAAAAACAATCATTAATTATTTTAAAAACAAATCGACACCATATATATGTAAAAGAGTAAAATCTAGCTAGTTTTTCATCATCATTAAAGTATTACGGAGTAGTACGTATGTTTAATGTTACGTTCTAATAACTAAATTAATTAAATACCTCTTGTCAAAGGTAGGCAAAAATGGGGTTGACATCTGGTCCAGGTCACCCAGATCCCCGAAAGCAAACCTACCGTACCCGTTTGGTGCGAAACACATAGAGAATGAGTTCCGAACCAACCCTTGGGACGATAGGAGGCTTGTCACGTCCAGCGCACCGTACCCCAACCCGATTAACCCGTTGACCGGACCCTCGTCAAGAAGATCACCCGTTTCAACTTGCCCGCACCTAAGAACAAACAAAATGAGTAGTTAGAATCAATCACTTAAAAGACCAAGACATGTGCATTATGTTATTATTTGTGTGCATAATGAATGAATGAATGAATGAATATGCACCCGAATATGACTGGTGCGCTGCTACGGGTGCGGTTGTTGTCATAGGTTTCGAGGTGCATAACGTCTTTGACGAGAATGCCCCTGGTCGAAGTGTTCTTGGCCATATAGACGACTTCGTAGGGGCATGGGTTAGGGTTGGGTGCTTGGGGAGGGCAGTCCTCTCTCTTGGGGGGGTAGCAGTAGGGACTACCACAGGGAACAACCTCACTCGTTCCTGACGTACTGTAGTTGTACGAGTACAGGTTTATTTGCTGCATGCGGCAATTAACAACATTATACACATCCAAATGTTTAATTTCGTTAGTCGTACGTAGAAAATGTTATGATGTATCTATATACTGAGGAATGAATTGGAATATATTTTACATATATACGTACTTCTCCGTCTGATTCATGGAAGGAGCGGGCACAGTCGTCGCAGCCGCATGGCAACCAGAAGGTGGCACTTCCGGTGTCAAGTGCCACCAAAAATGGCACCGGAGGGGTACCCACATATACAAGAGCATACTGGAGACTGCATATTATTAAAAAAAACAATTCAATGAAATTAGGCACTGCGATATATATATATATATATATAGATCTACACGAGCTTAAATATTTAATTAGTACCCATCAACTTACTTTGCCAAATGCTCTATCATCTCCGTCAAATATCCTCCGGCAAATGTGATTGCCGCCGGTGAATCCTTTAGGCGGTGGCGGCGCTGATCGGAAGCAGCCTGTACGGAGTAATATTCCGCGGAGCCCCTTGTCGGCAAACCTTAGTGCCCCTTGTCGGCAAACCTTAGTGCCTAACACTCCAATGGAGGCACTATAACTCACCGCACTAATTACTCCTTAATGGCTAAGATTCCAAAAAGTTACTTATATATATTTTCAAATTATTTATCACCAAAAAAATAGTGTGAAGTTTCCCTCAATTTTTTCAATCTTCGAAATAGTGCATGTTGTTGAGTAGTTTGATCTTAATGGAGTTTTGATGCTTTTTTTCTAAATAAGATAGTAATACAAGTTGTTCAGCTTTTAATAAAGAAATAAAGATGTTTGCCCCATATATAGTGCNTGGAGGCACTATAACTCACCGCACTAATTACTCCTTAATGGCTAAGATTCCAAAAAGTTACTTATATATATTTTCAAATTATTTATCACCAAAAAAATAGTGTGAAGTTTCCCTCAATTTTTTCAATCTTCGAAATAGTGCATGTTGTTGAGTAGTTTGATCTTAATGGAGTTTTGATGCTTTTTTTCTAAATAAGATAGTAATACAAGTTGTTCAGCTTTTAATAAAGAAATAAAGATGTTTGCCCCATATATAGTGCAGCCGTGCAGGCTAGTTCATTGGCTAATATATAGTCATCATATTATTTTTACGTGGATGCCATTAATATATATATATATGTGTGTGTGTGTGTTTATATTTATATATACACATAGAGTATATACATTTTCACATAACAATATAAAAACAAGAAGTGAAATTTGCACTCAATATGACTAAAACATAAGTCATTTCTGACTTAAACTTTTTTATTTCTTAAAAAGGACTTAATAATGACTATTAAGTAGAATAATGTTCAAGTGATGTTGGACATTTAGTTGAATAATGACTAATAAATAATGACCAATAGTCCTACTTTGGGAAATAAAAATCTATGGTCTTATATTGAGAAAATCATTATGTTTTAGTTCTATTTAGGTAAATTACTCAAGAATAATTCGAAAAAGAAAATAAAATAAGATAGAAAATAATTTTTCTTGTGTGGTTAGAAAGGAAAAAAAGAAAAGCCTTAGACACGGCGACGGGTTGGGGGGTTTATTGGAGGTTATGGGGTATGAGCAATCAAATTTGCAAACAGAGCATCGTATAGGTCTCAAACATATTATGGTAAGATTTGTTATAAAAAAATTGTAAGATTAAGGACCCTCTTAATAAAAGAATTTAATGAAATCCAAATGATTGCCATAAAAATTGTTGTCTATGTCACGATGTCTAAATTAAGTCTGAAACGTAAAAGAATGAAGTCTGAAGCGGCAGATTGGACGAGAATAAGGGTTAGTGCATGTGGGTAAAAGTAAAACATTTTAAAAAAAGTACTGATATTCGGATATCTGAATATCCAAAACAATCTAAAATTTAAATCCGTACCTGATTTGATTTTTTTGGATATTTGATCCGAGTATCTGAAAATGAAAAATATCAGATCGGATATCCATTTAATTTCGAGATCGGATCAGACCGGATCATGGACAGATTTTTTGGATCAGATAATTTGAAACACCCCTAGCTAATGTCACTACAAAAAAATGCGCATTTGTCATAGATTTTCTTTCAACTTCACTTCATTAAATTCTGCTACAAGCACTTTTGTCATGTACGCTGCGTTGTCACAGAAACAATCCGTTACATATAGCTGGTCACAAACCTCTGTCACGAACGATAAGGCCTTGACGTATTGGTCACGCTGTAAGGTGTGACAAACCAACTTCTCGCTAACATAATGACACAACTGTGACAGTTTGGATAATTTCAAATATAATTAAATTCCTATTAAATTAAAATTATTTTGAAAATGTTGTCACGGCGTAGCTATGGTCCATGGGAGAGGAAGTGAGGGAAATGAAGAAAGCATTGAGACGGCTAATTATAAAGAGGTGGTGGATGCATTGGATTTGCAACACCCCTGAGTCCCTGACTCGCCCTAACTTAGAACTAATCTCTTTGTCCCAAAAATTTATTCACGTTTCAAAAAACCATGTTCCCAAAAGTTTTTCTCATTTATTAAAAAATTATTTTTACCTCTTACTTTTTCACGTGTTACCTATCACATCATATCCTTTTCGCAATAATCTATACATCACATCCTAATTTAACTCATCACATCAAGAGTATCAACACAGAACTATTCCTCCCTTATTTTACTACTTTAGTCAATATATCCCTATCTTTATGGAACGGAGGGAGTATATAACTGAGGATTGTAAAAATCTCTTAGGGTCCGTTTGGTATATGGAATTGATGGAATTGGAATTGAATTGGAATTAAAATTCCATGAGTTTCAATTCCATATAATTGAATTCACCAATTCCAATTTATTTTTTGCACTACCAATTCCAAATCCACATAATTTTTATGCTACCAAACACTATAATTGGAATTGAATTCTTCAATTTCAATTCCATAGCTTGAATTCCGTGTACCAAATGGGGCCTTATACATTTGTAGCGGGAATATTTCTTTTTATTTTGTTTAAGTTTTTTGCTCTACTAATGAAACCGGGCATCATAGCGTACGTAGACTTCTCATGCATTCACTCCAGATCATAGGGGAGTGGGTTGATCCCTAAATTCATCGTTACTTCTCTTGAATTTAGTTTATATTACTTCGTATAATGTATCAAAAATATTATAACTATAATTATTATAATTATGCTGGTGCGGGCTAGCAGCACTTAGTATACCCATTCCCAAGATGATATATAAATATAAGGATGGGAAGAATTAAGACAGCTAATTTAGCCATAATGATTTAAGTATATATTGGAAGCTTCACAAGTTTTATAAGTAGACTGGGGAATATAATATTGTGCTTGTAGTGGAGAGAAGCCTGATGCATGCATGGGATACTTATACTAGTCTAGCTAGCAATGGAATTAAGCACTATAACTTACCGCACTAATTACTCCTTAATGGCTAAGATTCCAAAAAGTTACTTATATATATTTTCAAATTATTTATCACCAAAAAAATAGTGTGAAGTTTCCCTCAATTTTTTCAATCTTCGAAATAGTGCATGTTGTTGAGTAGTTTGATCTTAATGGAGTTTTGATGCTTTTTTTCTAAATAAGATAGTAATACAAGTTGTTCAGCTTTTAATAAAGAAATAAAGATGTTCGCCCCTTATCGCCCCATACTGCAGGCTAGTTCAGAGTATATACATTTTCTCATAACAACATAAAAACAAGAACCTTGTAGCTTTAGACAGTTTAC